ACCTTCTCATAATCCTATTAAACAATCACTTCACCATTAGATGTGAGAGAAGTATTAACTTGAAAATGAGATGATAGGTAGAAGCATAGAGAGAGAGAGAGAGTAATGCTGAGTTCAAGCATCATGTAGCCTGCTGAGATGGAATACAAAATGAAATTCATTGAGATATTTGTTTCATTAGAATAATTGAAGTGGAATAAAAGCTAATAACCTATATTAGCAAGGTATATAGATTAATCAGATGTATGAATGAGCACTCTGATGATGATACAGATTCGCTGAGCTCACAAAATTTTTATAAATTTCAAAAGTTCATTGTCAAAAAAGTTGTTTCAAAACTGAATTTTGCGGACTTCATAAAGCAATTTATCAAAGAGTTGACTTTTCGTAGAAGGATACATAGAGAGAGAGAGTTACAGAGAGAGAGAGAGAGAAGGGCTAAAAAAAAAGTCTGAAATGAAAAAAAAAATTGATTTTGGTCACGTTTCAGTTATTATATGCTAATTGCAGCTTTTCCAATTTGAATTATTGAGAAGTTGGCATAAAGAAGAAGAAGAAGAGGAAGGAAAAAAAAAGAAAAAGTAAGATATAATATACATATATATCGAAAAATGAATGAGAAATCGAGAGAGGGAGAGAGAGAAAGAAACAGAAACAAAGAGAGAGAGAGAGACAAAGAGAGAGAGAGAAAGAAAGAAAAAGAATGAAAAGAGGAAGAAATGATACATTAGAGAAGATATGATTAAGATGAAGAGTATAGAACAATAGATTGAATGAAAGACTTTTAGTACTAATGAAGTTTCTCAAATAGCCGTTATGTCGTATTTCACACACTATTCCTATCCCCCCCCTCCTCACTTCCAAACCTTCCAATTGGTGGTGATGGTGGTGGTGCATGGATATTGAGAAAGGAATGAATGAAAAGACAATGAGATGTATACTTGATACTTTGCCTCTTATATACTCAAAACCGTTGACTTTTTTTTCTCATTTTTCTCTCCATTTTCGAAAAATGAGAATGAAAAAGGCAAAAGCATGTGAAGTGATCCAGATGATTATGAGATGTGACTTCTAGTCAAAAAACGGTATCAACGTTTCCCATTCATGTGAAAGGCTTTTTTCAATGAGAACTTACCTGATAGTCTAATAGACATAAGTTTCTGAATCAGTGAGAGTCTTTATGATTAACATATTAATATTCTAGTTCTCCCTCCGCTTCACTGCTCATGTAGATAACTTGCACAGATGCATAGTCAATCACTATCACACTCATACTGTCAGACATAAGAAGAAAACGAAATTATACTGGCAATTCTGTATTTCCAATTGAGCATATGACAACAACGGAGAGTCAAAGAATTATAATCATGATGAGTAGTAAGAGAAGTAGAACAATGGGAAAAAAAAATAAAACTTTCGAATAATGTCATCGGGAAAGTGAGGTACCTGACCAGGAAAGTAATCAGTCAATGAATGGATAAGAGAGAAGAAGAAGAAGAAGAAGAGGGAAAAATAAATATTCTAAATGTTCCGTTAATCTTCATAACTAATCTACCAGAGCTCCCAAGGAGGTTTGCTATGAATATCATGAATCATTGTGAGAGAATGATTGATTGGAATAGTTAATTCAACGAAATCGTTGTTATAGAATAAGTATTCCCTAATACGTCGACTGAAAATGAAGTATATAAATACTATTTATGCATATAATTATGAATCATCTTACCCACTAGCTCCAACTATGTATGCTGCAGGTATTCCCGCCTTTGGCTCACTACCATCTGATATCATTTCTACATAATCATCATAACCTCCTGAATATTCATTAATATGTTATAATATAATGTTTATAATTAAAAACCATTCTTAGAGTCAGTCATAAGAACAGCTACAGCACCTGCACGTTCAGCATTACGTACTTTCTTCAAGAATGAGCATTCACTGAATGAGAATGGTTTAGTAAATGATAGATGAATAGACTGTATACCCTCTTTCGATTAGAACAACTTGATTGTTTACAATACGATTTTTCAAAGGTTGGCAACCATGTGATGGATAGGCATATGTAAGTAGAGCATGCTATAACATATATAAATATAATTATAATAAGAATTATATCTTACCTTATATGGATATCGTGGAAATGGAGCTGCAATATGAGTTGATGGATGCATTTGGAATGTATATGATAACTTCTTTGGATATGTTATATGAAAGAACAATTGTGTTATAACTATAAATATAATATATAATATATAATTAGTATAGTTAAGACTTACCTATTTGAAAACATAATGAAAAAATCAATAACAACCTATTACTGTTGACCATATTTGTTCGATTATTTATTATTTTGAACGAAAATGTAGAACTGAAAACATTCAAAATACACAACGACCTTCACAATACATAAAGCGGGACGCGTCAACGAAAAGGTTAACCATCTCTGCCCCTTTCCCTTCCTACTTTTCTCATCGTTCAAATATTGATTGATACAATGGACTGCCCAGTTGTAATCATCTCTACATTTAAAACATCTCTCCCTCTCTATCTCTCTCTCTCTCCCATCTCTCTCTCTCCCATCTCTCTCTCTCAATAGTATATGTTTAGAGTTAAACTTGTAGAATAATGAAATGAGCTTAACAAATTGAATATGTTTACTTCGATTACAAATATTGAATTGTGTTTAAAATGAGTTAAGGAGAAGGGCAAGGAGAAGGGTAAGGAGGAGTACAAGGATGAGTAGCAAAGTTGAATCTTGAATGGAAGAGCAATTTCAGTTGAGTGTCTTAAGAATGATCATATTGGGTGGGTGTGTGTGTGTGTGTGTGTTTGCTTTATATACGAATTGAGTGATCCATGAGCTTATAAAGTGAATGAAATCATATTCTTTAAAGAATATAAAGCGGAGATTCATGAATATTCTAAATAATTTCACGTAATAGTCATTAAATATAATTTGAGAAATGAAAGGAAATCTATAGTTGACGATGATGATGATCCTCATCACAAAGATGATGACAAAGAAGGAAGAAGTCTATAGATGGCAATCTATGAAATATACAACTACAATGAACTCACACTACTCATAACACTTATGGCATTTGATAGATATAACTTGGATTGAACAGAAATGAGGGTATTCAATGAATATTGGAAATGAACAAGCATGAGATACAGTAATACTGGGGGATGAGAAGACAGGGAAGGGTGATATATGACTAAATGGTTATGAAATCATATGATCTATGACATCTTCTACTATGTATAATCATAGAGATGAGCAACGATAGTCTGTTAAGTTCAGAGGTATGCAGTCATACCTGTAATGAGTAATAAAGAGAATGATGAGAGAGTGTGAGATAGCGAGAGAAAGCCATTTATACAGATCGTAAAACAGTGCATCACATCGTAATCATCCACATACTATCACTATTTGTAATTATATGAATGAAATGAGTATTACGAAATGAATCAAGCAGTCAATCTATTAGGTTGTACAGATGTTTGTGTTGATGTTGAGAAAGCATCACGCTAGCTCTTTCTATGTATTCAATTCACATGAGTCAGATTGATTTATATCTTTTCTCATTATGCTAATTCTTCGTTCTTGTGATAATATGTTCATTCTCTCGAAAAATGCCTTTTCTCATGCTAAAAAGCAATACTAATTGAAATGAAAACAGCTCTCACAGATCTCTCTCTCTATCTCTCTCTCTCTTATAGTAAGTTATTCCCTCTATATCTCCTTTCTATCATTCAATTTATGTGTGAAACATTGCTTTTCTTAACCAATATATATAATTGTTTCATTTATTATAATAACAGCAGATGGCTGCTATTCTATAATAAGTGATAACACATAATGCGTTAAGAGGTTGTCTAGACTATTAGATATCTGACAACATGACCTTTTTCATCCTTAATGACGCTTATTACTTATGAATATCCTTATATATCTCTCTATAAATAATATATATTTTATTATTATAATGATAACTTACATCTTCATAATCATCAGCTTCTATTTGAGCTTTTCCCTCTCTTCCATCTCTCTCTATCTCTCTCTTTCTCTTATAATCATCAGCTTTCTCCATAAATAACACTCACATACAGTCATTTCAATATGAATAAGAATTAATAATAATGTTTGTGAGTCTAGATGTATATAAACATTTATATTTTTCAAAAAAGTTTATATTATGGATTGTTCTTGAAACATTTATTTTTAATCCATTTCATAACATTTGTAGTACTTGCATGACAACATATCCTCCTCCCCTCTCTCTCTTTCTCCCTCTATTCGTTCTCGTCTCCTTCTTTTTGTAGCTTCTTCTTTAACATATTTCCTTCTCTCTTAATATATATATATATATCTTATCTATCTACTTTCTAGACTTAGGAAATGACCAAGAAGAGGAATCGCTCATCCAACATTAAACGATCAAAAACGAAAAAGGAAAAAGCAATCTTTGAAGTTGATAAGAATGATTTGTTTTCTAACATTTCATCAGAGGTTCACTTACTATATCAATTCTATGTGATTCATATTGATTCAGGAAGGCACTCCAAACTCTGAACGGAAATCTTCCTCAGCTGGTAGCTCGATAGTTGGTTCAGTACAAGATTCCACGTCATCCCTGCCATCTCCAACTGACAGTGAGAAGGATTCTGAACTGGTATACTTCTTTATATTATTCTAACATAGTATTCTATATATCATTTTAGGAATATAGAGCTGTAGCGTATGTTCAATTAGCTATCTTAGAGGGAAATCTTGAGAATCTCCATCTATCAGAATCGAAGAAAGATATGAAGAAGACGTTTCAAACATTCCGTGATTACCTTCATAAAGATCTCGAAGATCTATAAATACATGTTATATATATATGTACAATAGTGAATTCTTCACATCTATATACCATTTTCTTTCCTTAAATATCTATTGAAGAAGTATCTCTCTCTCTTTCTCCTGTTGTGCTTTACCCTCTCCATGTATTGATGTCCATTTGTGTATGTGTGTGTGTCTGTTGTCATAAATAATCATTTGATTTATCTCTGAATATAGGATCATTCTCTGAAAAATTGCTCGTTTTCTTTCCTTCAACTCAATGTTTAGAAATTGAATTTGTGTTTTATATCCAATTGGAAGAATATAAATTATTTTGAAAGTGCACATGTTCCATGAATTGTATTACTACAAGCATATGTCGTGTCTTGAGATGTATGCAAAAGAATTATTTTCTATTTGCATGTATAGTATGCTCATCATCATTCAATTAGTTCAATGTAAGCATATCCTCATACTTCAACTATTACAGCTGACTTGAAGCAACACACAGAGACTCACAAACTATAAATGATGTTCAGAGGATATAAGATCAGTTGTTCTTTTCAGTTTTACACCCGAATGAACTTTGCGGATAAGTGAGAGAGATACGAATGTGTGTGTGTGTGTGTGAGACGATGTTTCCATTGACAGTATTCTCAAATGCCAACAATCGATGAATTACAAATGAAAAGCTAATTAGTTTCATTTCATATATAATGAACCATAACATTTATATTCAAAACTCATTCATTTCATGTTTCATTCATCTACATGCACTCACATCTTCTCTCTTCGTATGCCGTTTACACTAACATTCAAAATAGAAATACTTATCATCTTTAGATATCTAAAAGCTTGTATCCTAACAATCACACACATCATTCCCATAGTTTGTTTCCCATCACAGCAGATATTGAAAAAGTTTTTTATTCCGAAAGACGCGAACATGTTTGAACAGTCGGTTCAGTCCAGTCGTTCAGAAGCTATTCTATTGATTCGAATAGTGCTTTCTTAACAAATACGGTTTAATTCAACTGCAAAGAACATCTATGACTATCCCCTTCAAGTTAGTGTGTTTCCATCTCTCTCTCATCCCTTATTTATATTTTTCTTTTTATTTCAAAGTCACAAGCTCAATGCCTATACTAAGCTGTTTACTATAAGTATTATGGTTAAGCTTATTCATTTCATTCATAATATTACAATTCATTTGAAATACTAACGAAATACATATAATCTAATCTTTAAAATATCATAATCTACTCTATTCCTTCAATTCACAATATCATATATTGATTGTTTTCATAGAGATACAGTAAGATATAGTATCCCCATTGCATAATCGACACCTATTCTTTACATGCGGGCGGTCCCACATTTCGCGCCAGGACCAATGGACGCATGTCCCAATTGCGTCTCGTTTGAAAAAAATATTTGAACATCTTCTTCAAGTTATGCTAAATCCTCTTAAGAAAATAATTTTTTTCTCTATATTGCTCTGAATACATCAAATGAATTCAGACAACCATGACTGTGTTGGCTGGTGAAGTCTTATTCTTTCCTGAAAATGAGATTACTGATTTTAACTCTTTCAAGTATGTTTCTACTTAATTATTCTGAGATATATAACTTGATTCAGTGAGAAAAGCTTAGAAGACTTACGATATTTTGATGATTTTGATGAAAATGAACCAAAAGAGTTCTCATATGTGAGTTTTCATGAGAATTTCCCATTTCATTACTCGTATTTAGGATATTTCAATTAACTCTAACAAAGAAAGTATTACTGTAAGTCCTAATAATCTCATTAACGGATATGATTCTAGTCTTCATAATCAATTAATAGTAAGTTCTTCCATTCATTCAATGTCTATAAGTGAGATTACAGAATGAAAATGTTGAAATGACGAAAAATAGAAAATTCGCTGGCGAAGCTAAGAAGTTGTTTCAGTATGTTAAAGATGAGAATATTTTTTAAATTTGTTTTCTTATTAGAGCATATCATGAAATACCATATGAGGAATTGATAGAGACAATACAGTTCAGAAGATGTATGTCTATGGTTGTATTGGCAAGATTCTTAGAGAGATTAGAAGCTCTTGATGGGTATGTAAAAATGATTTTCGATCAGTTATATATTGAAGTTTAGACGATTGAGAGAGAAATTATTAATAAGAAGAGGGTTTTATCTTCCGCGTCAGTGTGCTGATGAAGAGTAAGAAAGTTGTTGTGAGAATAAGTAATGAAGATTGCTATTCAGATCAGATGACGTTCTTCCATTAAGTTATATAGAAAAAGTATATGAATTCTTTCTAACTATGATAGATATCTATAAGAAACATAATAATAGTGTTGATAGAGTAAGTTATTCAATAATCATAACTCCTATAGTTTACTACTTCTAGATTGGTATAGAAAAGATTGTAAAAGATAAATCGATTGTACTAACTAAATCCCAGGATGACTTACAAGTTGCTCATTGTAAATATACTTATCAACAGGTAATTTGTAAGACTGACAAGTACTCATGTTTGTACTCAGAGTCAAGAAAGCCGTAGAGAAGATTATGTTCCTATGAAGCGAACAAATACTTTTTGGAATGGAACTTTTTGCAAAAATCCACAAGTTGTTCCATATAAATCATTATTAGTGGAAGCCGAAAGAGTTTTAATTCGGATTACCGAGTCGAGAACTTTGGCCGATGGTACTTACCTTGGATTACTAGAGCCTAGGCGCCGTCTTCACATTTTAAAATATGAAGCATGTCAAAGTTTGGGCATATTCAAACAGCCAGTCGGTCTTGATGAGGCTTTGAAAGAAGTTGAGCTACGCAAAGCTCAGATTGAAGCATTCAAGAAACAAAGTGATTACAAGCCGCTAGAACTCACTGTAACACCTCCCATTCGGACGTTAACAGCAGAGCAAAGATTGGAGCAAAAGCGATTAAGAGAATCTTTCAATCTTGGTAAAACAGATATGACTAAGTTGGCAGCTGCTAGAGCTTCGGTACCTTTTCGAATGCAAGTAATGGTATTCACTTTGAAAACTTTTAGATAGGAGACACTCTCACAAGTTGGGGAATATCTATGCCTAAAAGAGAAGATAACAAGGATGCCAAATCTAGTAACGATGATCTTATTGGTAAGCTCTGCTCGATATAAAATATTCCAAAGGATTGCGTTTTAGAAAAAGAGCTTAAAAAGCTTCTCGAATCTCAAGAGGCAGAGAAAACGGAGAAGAAGAAAATGAGCAAGAAAGAGAAAGCGAGAGAAGCTAAAAGAGAAGAAGAGAGATGGCTCAACTTCTATAAAGACGTCACCATACATGAAGTTCCTCCTGAAAACATGGGTGACTTCATATATGCAAACTTGGATAAAGGAAAAACTAAATATGCGGAATACATCAGATACTTGTGGCCTACTTATGTAACAGATATCGATAAGAAGCAAGAATTCTATGACAAAACCAAACAGCCAGTCTCAGAAGTTATAAAAGAGGTTAAGATGCCCTTCAGTGAAGATGAACTGATGGCACGAAGATTATCTGATTGCTATGATGCTCATTTTGTACGTACTGGCCGTAAACGAGAGAGCTGCGTGAGTTCTGATCTCAATCTTCAGTTGGAAATGTTGTTTTCAGTCTGGGTGTTGTTTTGATGATATAGAAGAAAGCGACGAAGAAGAAGACATGGAGTTTCCAAAATACCATATCAGAGATCAGGGTCAAGCTTCTCAAAGGGTTACGTGTTTGAATGTTTCTGAAATAATATATGTATTATAGATTATTAAAACTTATCTAGCCACAAGACATAGACCATTACGTGAAAATGGAGAAGAGGAAAGTGATCCAGAAGAAGATGAAGGACATAAAGTATGTTATTAGATAACAAAAACAAAAAATCTTCTCTTTTTCTAGTTAGTTGAAAAGATATGGAATAATTTGGCCAGTAAACTACCCTGTGATGATCTCATCAGTTTGGTATGTAGAAGCAATCAATACAGTATTCTTATCTTTCTTTATTACAGCTTATGGATAGAAGTGTTATTTGTGAGAAACCAACTGTTGCCGCTTTGAGAGCTGCTAAGAAAGGACAAAAATTGAGAATCAAAGATGTTGCAGAAGCTAATTCGCAACAAAAACAAATCGACATAATGCAAAAAGTAAAATTTCAGTTGAAAGAAAGAGTGCATTACCTCGTTGTTTTTAGTGCAGCGAATTTTTGCTTCATCGTAGAGCCATCGAGAGTGGAATAGAAGATCGGTTTAGAGGAAAAATCAGAGAAGAACCTGACTGGAATGATCCGCAAATCGATGAGGTTGATTATCTTCATATCCTTTTTTGTATTCAAATTTGATTTGGTTGCAGATAAAAGCTCGCTTGATACTTGTGCATCCAGGTGAGGTGACTGATATGAAGTCCATTACTGAGGAGCTAGAAGCAACTTTCAGCGAAGAAAGGAAAAACAGAATTCCAACTTCTGAAGAGGTATTGATATACAATAGTTATTCGCTTAAAATTAGAATATTAGAAAAAAATGGAGTCTAAGCTGATTCTCGATATTATGTGGAAAAGGTTTAAGCGTTATGAAAAATCAATGAAAATGTATTTGATGGGACGGGTTTATTTTCCGGAATACTGTACGGTAGGATCATTCAAAAAATATTTTTTTGAAAAAAACGTTTGGTTTCAGGTAGATGAAGAGAGTTGTCGTTGCATTCATTGTACAATGAAATACAAATATCCCCCAACACCTGAGAGTCTTGGTGTAAGTTAGCATGTGTTCAATTCATTCAACTCATGATTGTTTTCAGATAAAAAAGAAAAGATGATTGGCTTCTTGTCTCATCTACGAACCGAGTGCAGTAGTATGATCTCATTCTTGAGAACCTTGAGCTTATCATGGACGAAACGGCTTCTTCCATTTATAAACATAATGAATTCGTTCAGAATCTGAACTTGAGCTACATTAAACATTAATGAAACTCTCCATTTGTTAATTCTGATGAAAGATAGCTATGAGTAGTATAGAAGCTGAACACTTACAAGCATAGAAAACTGGGAAGGCTTTTAAGAATATGGGAATCAATCTTGTATACTCTCACTATTAGAGTTGTACAGTAGTAATATATTATGGAAAAATTAAGAATGTTTAGAGTATGTGTAAGAAATTGGGGACATGTTTATTCAAATGAACTGTACGATTGAGGGACAAGTCATTGTGGAGTGACACATTCATATACATGAGTAATTCATTGAAAACATAAGTTTAATAACAATTTGGTACAATTATAAATCATTCAGATACTTCTGACTACATCTTCCCACTTCTTTAAGAAAGAATGATTCGACATCGAAGTATCATTGTCTTCTTTATGATGATACCAATGTTTGGGTCGAGTGTTCTGACTCGCATTCATCCAGGTAAGTTCAACCTTATTTCATATTCGAGACTTTCACGCTATCTTCTTCAATCTCATTATAGGTTTCCTTAACTTTGAATACGAAGACGTGTTCGATAGTTATGAATCTTCTTCTCACACACCGTATACACTTGAAGTGTCTCTAAACGATACAACCGAACGAGATTATGTAATTTCCAGCTGCTTCTTGAATAGCTGTCAGTTTATGAGCAAATATAGGTATTAAAGAACTATTTGAAATAATAGTTTTTCGATGGTTTTTCAGTTGCTTGAACTCAAACTATTGTGCCCTTCGTGCACTGGAAACTGATAGTTACAACAGAGAGAATACCAGAAAACAGACTCTAGTTCACTTCTATGCCCATAGTGATCCGATAGCTATCGAATGTGATTTTATTGTTTTAAATTGCAGTGGTTGTGCAGAGGTAGAAGAAGATCTCAAGTATTATGATTTTCAATTTCATTGCAGAGATCATGTCATAAACCATTTGACTTGAATATGTATCAGGCAAGTACGGTATCTTATAAATGCGAGAGAGAGAACAAGAGGTTTGTATGTATTGTGAAGCAAGCTGAAACTGTTTATGACCCGTTCAACTTGACACATATAACATCATCGACGACAACAACTACAACAACATCTACAGGTATGATCGTGTAAGCTAAAAACGTCAAAACTTATTTCATAGATACAGTTGATGACTCTGAAGATTCCTCAGGTACTATTGACTCGTTCGAAGCGACAATCTTTTCTGATCTCGTGAACCAACGTTCCTGGGTTCTGATAATTGTGATGTTCGTTATCTTTGTCCTTCTCGGGGCTCTGTTCATATATTGTGCCAAAGCTAAGTGTTTCACAATAATTGATGCTGAGTAAGGTAATGCAATGAAGACTTCAGTATACTGTATCATTCTAGAGGGAATGACTTGAATTATGAAGCTTTCAGATGTATGCGGAGAAAAATGAAGAACGAGTTTGTATTCAATTCCAACTTTCATAGAACGAATATTTCAGAACTGTAACTCAGATTCAAGAAGAGGACAAAGAATATGAAGAGAATGGACTTGTTCTACCAAAGGTTTGGCTCTGTTATATGAAATCTGGGTAAGGGTGTTTCAGACTGAGATCAAAGCAGATAATATTGTGAGAGCAAGCACACTTCCTGGGGTTAACCACGATGTCAGCACTGCATCAGAGATGAGCAGTGATGGAACTGTAGAAAATGAAGAGAACGGAATTGTTCTACCAAAGGTTTGGTTCTGTTTTATGGTTTCTCGTTCATCTTGTTACAGACTGAGGTCATAGCAGATATTATTGTGGAAGCAAACCCACTACCTGAAGCTGATGATGGTCTCAGTACAGCATCGGAGATTAGCAGTGATGGATCTATAGCTACTTGTGTTCATTCATACAACATAGACTTAACTATATAATATACAACAAGTAATACGGTACGCTATGTATATTTGATGGGCTTGAACTATAAATGATTGCATGCTCATTTGAATCCTCACTCATTATATTTTGTAGAATAAACTTTTGTTGTAAATATTATAACTAATATGGATGGATTGGGATACCGTATATGGAGCTGATTTGAAGATTACTCTGTTGTCTACCATTCTATTCCTAAGTGAAATGAACTCTTTCTAACAGCATGTTGATCCAAACTCATATAGTTGATTATATCATTTTCGAAACTCTGATGGCATGAAATACTTTTTTCTTTATTTTTCAACAAAGATGTGTATTCTCTTCTTGTTGATCTTCGGCTTTTTCGAAAAATAATTCTCTGTTAAAATAAAAAGAATAAAGATTAGAAGTGAATAATGGAAGGGAAGAGTTAAAAATGAAAATGTTTAGATGAGCAGGTAGAAATAGTATTGAGTTTGAGTAGAATGTGTAACAGTTTTATAAAAATAACCAAGACGTTTGATAGATTGTTGGAGACCAGTTGCTCAATTCTGTTTATTTGAAAATGAATTGTAACAGCCGCATCTTATATAATCTTCAATCTCAATACTATCTCTTTTTCAATTTCTTGAGGCATCTGATCATATCTTTGCTTACTCCTACCCACTCTCTTGTATTCAACCTTCTTTTCGTATACTCATTTATCTCGTCTAAAAGTTTTTACAACAGAGGTGGCTATTTCATTGTTAAACAAGCATCTTTTTGCTTATTTCATTCAATCGCATCAACCATGTCCGACGAGGAGGAAGTGTAGTAAGTGTTGCGTTAGCTTTCGTTTTTATTGTTCTGCACTCATTCTAGCTCTGATGAGGAAGTCATTGAGGAGGAAGAAGAGGTAGAGGAAACCGAAACTGCTGCTGAAGAAGCCGCAGAAGAAGCTCCAGAAAAGTTGGATTTGGAAAAATTACTTTTCTTAATATTTACATTGTTAGGGAAGAAGAAGAACCCGAAAGTCATGCTGAAGAAGAAGCTCCAGTTGAGAAGTAAGTTAAGAGGTACAGAAAGCTATGAACAGCTCTTTTGTAGAAAAACTCGTCCTCCACCTGCACAGGAAGAAAAGCCTCCTGCAGAGCTAACTGAAGCTGAAGCTGCTATGTTGGCCGCCAAAAAACGTCATGAGGAAGAGCAGGCAGCCAAGCTTTTGGATTATGAACAGAGAAGAGTTTTGGAGAAGGAGAAGATCGAAGAGGAATTGCGCGACTTGAAAGAGAAGCAAGAGCGTAGAAGGTGATTTATAATTATCACAGTACTGATTAACCTTTTTCTCAGAGCTGAGAGAGAGCAAGAAGAGAAGGAGTTTGCTGAGAGAAGACGCCAAGATGAAGAACGTAGACGCAAAGAAGAAGTACTGAATCAAAACTTTTTGTATGTTACTGTTACCATTTCAGGAAGAGAGAAAAGCTCATATTGAAGCTGAAAAGCATCGCAAGAATGAGGAGAAAATTCGTCGTCAAAACCTTATGGCTGGATCTTTCAACGCTGCTACTTCTGCAGCACAGGGAGGAAAGAACTTTGTTGTCAACAAAAGTGAAAGTGCTGGTGAGCCCGCACCACAGGTAATGAAACTAATCCGTAGGGTTTGTGAATATTATGCTCTCAGAAAACCAAATCTGGAAAGGTTGGTCCTTCTGCAGAGCAGTTGGAAGAGATGAAACGCTCTTTCTTGGCTGCTTTGTGCCGCCCAGTTGATGTATCAGGAGCTCTTCCTAATGATTTGAAAGAGAAAATTAAAACTCTGCATACTCGTATCGTCAGACTCGAGGCTGAGAAGTATGATCTTGAAAAACGCTTCGAGCGTCAAGAATACGACGTGAGTTGGTGTGAACGCAGAAAGAAAATTGATTTTTTTTTCAGTTGAAAGAACTGGGTGAGAGACAAAAGCAAGCTGCACGTAACAAGGCTCTGAAGAAAGGACTTGATCCTGAAGAGGCCGCCAAATCACCACATCCCCCTAAGATCACCGTCGCCTCTAAGTTCGATCGTCAGATCGATAGAAGATCCTATGTTGACAGAAGAACATTGTTTAACGATCCTATTGTTCGTAAACCATATGCTCTTGCTCGTGGAACAGCACGCCCTCCTACAGACTGGGGACGTAAAGGCAATGAAGAATTGGAGCAAATTCGGTAAAGGGAAAATATGTGAAACCCTGAACCAATCAGAAATGTTTCAGTAAGAATTTGGAGCCACCAAAATACACTGAGCAAGTGAAAGCTGAGGGTGACGCTGCTAAGCCACCTGTCCAACCAATTCCTCTTCAAGTTCCTCAGAATGAATTTGAGGACGCTCCAGCCGAAGCTCCAGCTGAGCCTGCCGCTGAGGTCAGATAGATACCTAGGAGTATGTGAACGTTCCATCTTGTTTCAGGCTGCACCAGTCGCTTAAGCCTCCCGGCATAGCAGAACCTTATAAAAGTTTCTGATAGAGAAACAAGTAGATTCTGTGCTAATTCGCATTTGATGTCATCTTTCTTGCTATATTACTTCAGTAGTTTGATTGTTCATTTCATCTTGCTCAGAACAACATAAAGCATTTTTCAATATATCCACCACAGTATAATGTTTGAATATTCCAACTTTAGTGAGTGGTAGTAGCATAGAATAAGCTTCCTTAGGACTGCTTAATCAATAGCCGAGGAACTTTCTAACTTCTCTGAGTTTTTTCATTGGATTCATTTAATGAAAACGCACATCTGCCAACTGCTGCGCTAACAATCAAATTGTTCATCTCACCCCAAGAACATGGAATGTCTGGATCTGGATTGTATGATAATGGGATATAAGTTGATATTGGAATAACAAGTATGATCATCTTCAACTAGACCGGAAGTCATTGATTGAAAAGCAAAAATTTATATGAGAATAATCTTTTTGGGCAAAACTTCTATCTTATCAGTCAGATTTCATATTTTAGTTTTTAAGTCACTAGTTCTCTGTTCAGATGTTCTTTCTATCAGTCACAACATTTTTCGGGAGTAAATAAGATTTATTCAAGTATACATGTTGTACATATGAGTTAACAACAATTGATTATTGATTGTGTCCAGAATGGAACTGAAGATGCTGGCCATTTATCCTTATTCAGTGTAGAAGATGAAGCGGCAGAGACAGTTCGTGTACCGTCTACGTCTTGTGAGGGCGATCTCACTTAGGTGCATCATGACGAGACACACAAGGAGAGTGATGGTGCAACCGATAGCGACGAAGATCATCACTGAAAAAAAAAGTTTTTTTCTTCATTTTTTTCATAAACGTACTCGTGGCATAAATAGCCATAGCGGAATGCATGGCTTCCGACTCGAAGAATATCTCGTTGGTTTTCACGGCGACTTGGTGGGTCATCAAACAGCTTAGATAAACTAATTGAAAAGTATATCTCAAAGACAGCATCTTGGCTAGGAGACTAGGAGGAGAAGACCGGCCCAGAGAGCTGAAAATTCAACAATGAATGTCTGAAATGCTCGCTGAGCATGCTAACGATGATGCTATATTAGATTCATTTAATAAGGGCGTTAATTTTGGTACAGCAATGCAAATATTTGGAATATGAAATGTCTGAACCTCCTGTAAACAAACGCACTCACATCGAAATGTTCCTGGGAAGCAGCACAATTATATTGAGTCGGATGTCTGGAGAGATGAAGATGGGATAAAGAGAGAGAGATATTCCTGCATGATTTTTGGACCAATGTCTAAGTTTTAAGCACAATAATTCCGGAACTTCAAGTATTGCTCAGAAATGTCTGAAACGGAAGTATAGAATCTTGATAGATAGTTACAGAGAAGAATTTTGGTTTGGTTCTGGAAGAGGATATCAGTCTGAATGAATTCTTGTAAAACTTACTCGAATCAGAAGTTTTTCTTACAATTCGTTCATATTTCTACCAGTGAATTTCGAGGTTCAAGCTTTAGTCTTATATGCCTCTCGGAGAAGCACACTCTCTTCCAACATCTTCCTAAGAAAACTAATTAAGATCCGTTTTGAGCAATTGGGAGAAAAAGAATCTTTAGCTTCATATGTTTAGAGAGAAAGTTCATTGTAACTTTCCAAAGAAGACCAAAGATGGGCAAGAAATCGCCATTTTACGATCGTAATTTGCTCACTTTCGCGGTGGTAAATTGAATGCAGAACAAGAAACAGTTTATTTATATGAGTAACGTCTACAAACAAAGGGAATGCTTCTTTTAAGTTAAACGAGAAATTGCTCAAATTCCATATGTAGGGTCCACAGTTGGACGCTGAAATAATATAAATGATATTCTGAGGAAAGAATGAGAATATTACCTGTGCAGGTTCAACATGGACATTTTGAGTATCAGCATTAAGATTATGTGTAGCACCAGCATTACTGTTTTGTACCTGAATGAACTCTAGTGACAACTATTCATATGATATGCCTACCTGTGGTTGATCATGTATAGTATTATCAATTTTCGAATCATAAGCATTATCACCCCAATCTGGAGAAACAGGAATTGAAGTTTGAGTTAAGCTTGGTAACGAACTCATTTCTTTAGCTAAAACATCTTCATATTCTTTCAATTCTTCAGGAGTGAACAAGTCTTCAGATGATAACTCGTCCCATCCTTTATCTTGACCGCCAGTTTGAGCTTCGGTATCCTTTATACAATATAGTTAATGATACTTGATCTGTACTCACCTGCATAAACTCTTCTAAACTAATCAGACGATCGCCATTCTTATCCATCTGTTTGACGACATGTTCACGCATGCGGTACATCTCCTCAGTTCTATTTTGCTAACTTGTTTTTCGATTCAAAAATATTCTAACTTTTCTCTTGCATCATAATCAGGGTCAGTAGAGTTGTACATCTTTTCCAGTTCGATATTGAATAGAGATTCCAACTCTTCAGAATTCCAGAACCCTTGAAGATTGATAATTGCCTTTAAATGAGCTAAGAAGATAGAACTCACCATCTCCGTTTAAATCGTGAAGACCAAAGAAGGTGCGGGGATTGAAAGTGTCTTTAGTCATCTAAAAAAATGGAAAAAAACCCTTTAATATCAATTCCGATTGAGCCTACCTTGTCGCTTTCAACCCAAACATCTTCAAGTTGAGTTTTGCTGGCTGGGTGTTTGAGTTTTTCATGAACACGTTTTTTCAATTGTTCCTCTCTATTCATTTCAGCAGCTCTCTCCTATAAAATATCATTTTATTGGAACGAGAGCGGCTCGGAAACCTGTTCGGTCATGCTGGCCAGTTTGTGATCCCTTTCGGCTTTCTTACGCATTTCATACTTTTTGAACTCTTCCCTACGCTGATTATCAATCTCATCCATATCAGCTACGGTCTGAAACAAAGCCCACAAATCAAGTTTTTCAATAAAGAAATCCAACCTTCTTGATGAGCATTCGAAGATCTTCTTGCCCGAATGTTTCCCACTGGTTTAAGTCAAGATGTTCGGGTATTTTGATGTTATGAGCTCCTTTATCAGCCTTAACATAGTAACAACTGTCCAAGCTATTCAATTATCACAACATACCTCTATCTGTTTTTCAATTTGAGCCCTAATAGATTCAATTTCTTCCAACTTTATTTTATGTAATTGATTGTGAATCTCCTTTGGCAATTCATGGAAATGATCAGCAATACGACCTTCCTGTATATAAACTGAATCTAAACATCACTGTCTGGCTTATCAACCTTAATTTGTTCTTCTGGCATATCTCTAAGACGTTCACGGAAGTTCTTATCACTTTCTAAGATTTCCACAACCTTCTCAAGATAACGATTGTAGCTCAGTTCATAAGGCTTAAATAAGTACAGTACTTGATTGTATATATAAAAAGAAAAATACGTTTCGACGTCCGCTCTCATGAGCATCATCGTGCTTGGCGTTTTCAGCCGAGTTTGGTGCTGGTGAAGGAGCATGAGTAGACGTAACAGGCTATTGATAATTCAATTTATAATTCATTAATTAATAATAATAATACCTCAGGTTGATTAACTCTCTGGGGAGGAGCAGCCCATGCGACAACGAACAAGGCTAGCCATATTTTCAAATACATTTTGGCAATATTACCTAACAATGATAAAATTATAGAAAAAAAATTTATTAACTCAATAAGAAGATGATAAATGAGTAAAAGAAACGCGAGCGTGAGCAGCGCGACGCGAAGAAGTGGGCTAAGTCGATAATGCGGTCGATATCCGCAGGCGTTTTTTTTTTGTAAGTTTTTGAGCGGGGCGATAGCATTAGAGCGCAATGTAAATGTTCGAGTGTTCAAAATCAATTGAAGATGATGATTGAATGAAATTGAAGGTCGTTAACCTAACTAAGATATTATTACAATATATTGTGTCGAGAATGGGGGCAATGTCAGATGATGAGTCATCAGTTCAAAGGAACAGCCCTTTCGTTTATATTTATACTTTTGCTATCCTTCGAAAATCAATATAGTTCAGGATGAATTTTCTCATCTTTTGCTTAGCTTTAGTTCTTACAGCAACATTTGTTCAAGAGGCTTCTTAAGTCCTTCTGTCAAACTAGCCTTAAAGTTGGATTGATTACTTTTTTTTTTATGACCTCTAGTCTCAAAGACAGCAATCAATGTCATTGGTACTTCAAGGCTGCTGCGAAGTTTGGCGTTGTTTTGTGTCTCTGCAGACAATTTAGAGGTCGTCCATCGATAGAAGAAGAATTCTAGAATTTTAAATTATAGACGACAACCCCAAACTGACTTAAGTTTTAGGCAAGCGCTAGTTCATTTCAGTAGCATTAGCTGTACACATTACGGCTTTCACAATCATACAGCACTTAATATAAATATAATTAAATATATATTATTGCTAGTGATGTTGTTATATGCATGTAATAACCGTTTAGCTTACTTACTTGCTTGCTACTAGCTTATGATGATGATGATGATGATGATGACGATGTATTTCATAACATCATTCATTATCTTTGAGTATATTATTTAGTAAACAACTATAGTTCCATTTAAAGGCGTAATTTTATTTATTTTTTGATCAAAGAACAGCTTTCATTTTTGTTGCATTCCATACAAGCCTACTTGCCATAGCCATCAGCTTCAACTGACGAATTTTGATGAGAATTGTCTCCTCTCATCTTCTTCTTTTCCATTTTTTAATATTTATTTCTTCATAACCATTATATATATATTTATATATTTATATATTATAATTATCTTTATTCTCTTTATGTCATCATCCTCACTTCTCACTCACACACACACACACACACCGTCATGCAACAGAAAAAGAATGAAAAAGAATGAAAACCCTTTAATTTAGTTGAATCTGTTTACAATTGCTGAATGGCAAGTTGCAGAATAAACAATCTCTTTTCTTTGGTCGCTATTATTATTGAATCGTATCAATTTCGTATATATTTCATTCACAGGCAAAGCGGCCCAAAAACAAAAACCATGGCTTTGACTGAAATCGCTTTTTTACAAGCTTTCATTTGATATACTTATCAATATATATATACATAACTATATATATATAGTTAGTTTAACTATATTGTATATAATTATATAGTTAAATACAATAGTACATATCATTACTATTATCTTATATTCAACATCATTTCTTGTTGCACTTTTGCTTCTATCTGCGTCTTCGCATTTTGTTTATTATTTTGCTTCTCACCATTTTCATATATCGTTAGCTATATAAACTATGCTATACATCATTTACATACTATTTCTCTATGATTATGTGTGTGTGACATAGATAGAAAGTATATGGTATAGAGTGTGTAATAGAATGAGGATTGAAGTCAAAGATGTTAAAGGCTAAACACTCAGACATCTAATCCAAAATGCCATGCCGCATAGCTATGTGTTTAATGATTTTTCTTTTTTGCTCATCTTCTTTTTCTTCTTCATCTTCTCCATTTTCATTTTAAAAACGAAATATGAAGAGAAGAGAGAGAAAAGAGAAGAAAACGAAAAAACAGCTTCAGCTTAGAGCTGCATTGATGAAGAAGCTTTTTTTGTAAATTAAAATTTCATATAATGAATGGAGGGAATAGAGGGGGGGGAATGATCTAAAAATGGAAGTTAATGGTTTTTTATTCTCGGAACATGGCTACTGATTGAACGCATTAAATCACCCATAAAACCTTAATGGCTCATGTTGCAAGTTGAAACCAAAAACGTTTCATTTTGGGCCCTCTTTCCTATTTTTTTTTATGGTCCTCCTTCAAATATCTTTCTGAGCTTTACATTTCGTTTCGAAATTCATTGTGTGAGCTTCATTGTTCATGATGTCTACATTCCTTTTTCCTTTTTCCATATTCAAGCCTCTTTGAATTCGAGCTATCTCAAACCACTTTTCCCTTTGGCTATGTAGAGTGAGGGGGGACATCCATTATGTGAATGCTAGCCTTCACTAAAAGAACTGAGATGTCTGAAAAAGAGTGAGCAGACAGTTGGCAGGCGAAATTCAATGTTAGAATGCGAAGAGTCCTTTTTAAATCTTGGAGGCTGTCACAGAAAGACTCGTGAAGCGTAAACGCTCAGTGGTGCCTGGTGGTGATTGTAGACACAAAGGAAATTCCAGGCTTCTATCTGATGAGCTTTTTCGATTCAAGAAGGAAAAAAAAGAGAAGGAAAACGAGAGAGTCAGAAATCTCATAGTCCTCAATCTTTCGCTTTCTCCAGGAAGTGAAGTTGGGTTGAGAGCTTAGTGGATTAAACGACAGCTGACCATTATTTCCTTGAGAATAGATTCAACCGCAGATGTCAAAAAAAGCATTTTCTATTCCCATAGCATTTGTAGTATAAAAACTTTTTGAGAGAAAGGCATTTGGCCAAAAGTGTTCGAGATAAATGCTATGAGCATTCAGGCAAAAAAAAAAGATGAAGGTCGGAAACATTTATTAGCCGAAATATCGTGGGCGTAGCAAGTTAACGACGGCCAGCAGTTACTGGCTGGCACTGCAAGGCCATTCGGTCCTGGCTCCGAATCAAGCTGTTTGTTTGTCAACAACAGGCCGGCAAAAAAGTGAAAAAGAAGTAAATTGAATTGTTCATGAGTATCATAGAAGGAAAGCTAATGAAATCGTTCAAAGAGTGAACAATAGAGAGAAAGAGAGAGAGAATGATCAGTTTGAAATACTTGAGAAATGAAATAATTGTCAGTTACCGCCTGAGTCATGTAGTCCCATTTGACTTCCGATCGAAATTATTTTTTTGAGAAATACATTTAAAAATGCATGAAATGCCATTCATAATTAGATTTTGGCAATCTTTTGTTGCACAATAACATTTTGGAAGAAGCAGGAGAGAGAGAGAGCGAAAAAAAAATTTGTCTTGCTGAAGGTCAAAGGTTAATGTACAATGGACAGAGCAAACATTACATGACGTTCATGCATTTTAGTATTTACATTGTATTTTGAGGTTGTCAACATTTTTATGTACATCAGCGCCAAAGAAAACCCTGAGGGGGTAAACAAAATGTATGGGGGCCTGTGTGTGTGTGTGTGTGTCTCCAGACGAATGCAGACCAAATTGAGTCTTCCAGCTTTTTCTTTTTCTCTCTCTTTCCGGAAATAATGTAATTTCCTATCTCAACTGAATGTTTCAACGAAAAATGATGAAATCCGAAGAAAAAATGTGCTGGCTGAGCGTTATTTTTTGCTTACGTTTTCATTTATCGCATCGAACATGAATAGTATTGTAGATAGCGATGGGAGTCACATTCGTGTTCATTTAGAAACACAAGCTTATCATTTCCATTTTCATTTAGTTGTTAGAAGCAACTGTAATCCAGTTTCAATAACTTGATTATCATTTGATGAGTTCTCACTCTCTCGTTACCAAAATGATGATGTTCATATCTTCTCTTGACATCTAACATTCCCATTTCGCCCATATCATTAAAGTCAATCTTTAACTTATCTTCTTCCTCAAAAAAATAGCATTCTAAATTCAATGGGAAAATGTTTGCCAGTCAGCCTCTATTCAAAGCGAAAATCGTTTTTCAACGTGTTTTACATGTATCTAGCTGAGGCAAGCAATTTCGTAACTATGCGTTTTTCGTCTTCATTCAATACTAACAACCATCTTATTTTATATTAATGAGTTGTGAGTGAATAATGGCAAACGGAGGGACAGTATGAATTTGGACTTTACAGAAAACTCATTTTCAATGATTTATTGAAAATCAGATTGTTAAAGACAGATGCGAAAATGAATGAAAACAATGCTTTCGTCCCAACGACTGCATATCTCGTTTGTAGTTATTCACCACATGGATGAGTTTATCCATTGAAATGTCTGTGTCCTATTCATGATTCTGTTAGACACTAACTCTCATTCTCTCTCTCAATTGATCCCTCTCTATCTCTCTTGCTTTCACATCCATCGATCTATCTGTATCGAACTGTAATTGTTTCAATACCATCTGCCAGCGAATCCATTATTGAATTCCGGATGAACTTGCCTGAGTTTCGAAATTTTTTTTGGAGATCCCTTTTCCCCAATTCATTTTTTTTTATTTGCTGAGTGGATTCTCAAACATTGACGTAACCGCTTACGCAGCTGTCGTTGTTTGTCTTTGTCCTTGAAAGCAAAAACTAGGCAAAAAGGAGCAAGATATGAATTATTGGACATTTAATCTGAGAATGTAGTATCGTTCTTCATTGTATATCTCTCTCTCACTCTCTACACATTCATAATATATGCGTCAGCATCTTATGTATCTCTTTTTTTATTCCATTTTTCTTTTATTCTTTCACAATAGCTATGAGCTTTCTTTCTTTTTTTTTGTTCACAACCCTCTCTATCCAATCCTCACTCCCTTCCTCAACCCCTCTCTAAGTGCACGTACATTTATCTTGCCCCTTACGCCAATTGCGCAATACATTTCAGGTTTTTCTTTCTGAGTCCCTCTCTCATACTACATTGAATTGCCTCAAATAGCCATTCATTTTTGAAGCGGTCGTTTACCTTGTCGCCGCATTTCGTCCTCAAATGCGTCTCTCTCTCACTCAATCATTGTGTCTATTGTGATGATCTCCGATTTTCTTTCTCTCTGCAAGTCTTTTCCTCACATACTATTTCATCTCAGAATGATTCTCCGATCGAATTTCGAAATTCTCTTCCTCTCTCTGTGGTCTGGTTAAACATTAGCTACCTAGACCGTGAAATGTCAGCCTCTCTCACCATTTTCTCCGAAGTCTATTATCTTTTTTTTTCAGTAGTCTCTTGAAATCTTTTTCGATTCACATGTCATCAACATCATTCTCTGTGCTACTTTTCCATTTGATCCTCTTTTGTACAAAGCGATGCACTTTCCAAAAAAATTTCTTCTTCACCAGTTCACCTTTCCCTCATGTGCGAAACATCTTTTTTCTTCTTCTATTTAATTTTAGAAAAAAAAAATCAATTTCATTCCTTTCCCCCTATCATTCCTTACATTGGCACTGTATGAGCTATAATCACAATCAATACCAAAACTATTTTTATATTTTAATGACATATCTTCCCTTTGAGACTCATTCATTCAAAGAAGTATACTTGAACTCATTACATTCCTCAATCTCTTTTATATTCCTAGAAATCTCATTATTCTAATTGCTATGAGTTCAACTTCCAGAAACTTCAATAGAGATCATCTCAGCCATAGTATTCATAACATATGAATTCTTCTAATGTTCTATTTTTGTTCTCTTATACACTGCTCATTTGAATCTAATCTATTCTTATTTAAGCTGTGGCCGGACCATCAAAACTAACTATCAGATTGTAAAACGAAACGCATAACGGATTGCGTCAACTTGGTTGAACAATGTCCAACAACAAACGACGCAGTTATAAAGGTATAATTTTCAATATAAAAATATATAGATATCAGCTAATCTACTTTATGTTTTAAAGAGAGAGAGAGAGAAAGAGAGAGAGAGAGAGAGAGGGGGGAAAGAAGAGAATCAAAAGGCCTATGATTGAACTGAATTATAATTCTAGCTATTCAATAGTCTTTCTAGTTTTCTATCTTTTCAACTGCTCTTTTCATTTCATTCCATCATCGTGGCCATTTGTGATTTTTCTTTTTCTCTATTCGAAACAAAAAAAATAATTTTTTTCTTCACACATCCACATATCCATCTACTATTGAATAGCATGTAATTTTATGTGAATTTCAATAGAAAAGTCCATTGCCAATGGATTTCAATGTCAATTTCATCCTCTTTCATCACAAATGACCATCACAATGAACTATTTAATATTTTGAAAAAAATTAATATTTCATTTGACCCACCGTATACCCACTGCCCAAGGTTTTTCGCCATCATTATCCTTTCATCCATCTCTATGAATGCAAAAAATGGTTCTGAATCCTTTCCATAACTGTCCTCTGATGTTTCATGTTGGAAAGTTTGGCAAAAAATGCCATCGATTGTTATCATTTATCTGAATGGCATGTCTCGAAACGATTTTTAAATGGCATGAGTTACCGTATACAAATCCAATATAAACCGGATATTTGCGTACATTGCACACACCTGGAATATTCGAAAATCCTAAAATTATTATAATCAATATAATCATTTTAAACATAAATTCATCAATATATATATAAAATAATAATTTTAAATAATTAAAACAATGAATACAGTGTTGATGTTACCGTAATTGGAATTTGATTCCGGTAGGGCCTTTTGTGCATATCAATATCCTATTAATTTGGGTAAAAAGGCATGAATAGCTCTTCATTTCCACAATCTCTCTTTCATTCACTCATTCATCGCAATCGCATTCAGTCAAAACTCATCTCCATCTATAAGTTGAAGCTTGTACATACACACACATACACACATCTATCTATCTCTATTGTTTCTTGTGTGTGTAGATAATTAAAACGAATATCTTTGATGGATCAAAGTTCTGAAAGTAAGTTTTGTGTGAGAAAATCGTATCCAATTATCATACTCTCAAACGAAATCTTATGAGAAACATTATAATTTCTCATGATGCAATACGATTAGCATCAATCACATCAACATTCTCCATGAAACACAAATATATTTTGAATGAATGAGAGCAAATTAAGAGAGAGAGAGAGAGAAATAGAGAGAGAGAGAGAGAGATGGATAGAGAGAGAGAGAAAGAGATGGATAGAAAGATAGATTTCTTTTGTTATTTTCTTCCAATAAAAGCAGAATGAACACAAAAATGATTTTAAGCATCTATTTCATAAAATATTTATGAATCAATGAATATGATATGAGCTCTATTCGCAACATTCTCATTTCATTCTATGAAGCCTCCAAATGTCTTGTTTTATAACCAAAAAATTTGAGAAATATATTGAAATACGCTGTGTTAATTAAAATTTTTGCTGTCAAATATGACGAATACATGTGATGTGAAAGGATTGAAAGACAAATAGTTAACTATACTATAACATATAGATAACCTTCAAACTTATCAACTATCACCCTTCACCCCCTTTTCCAACCCTTCCTTATCATCATCGAGCTATTATAGTTTTTTAAAAGAATATTTTAACTTATAATACATATAATATTAATTATATTCTTTAATATTTTCAGTTCTTGACGAGCCATTGGCAGATCCGTTATCAGATTTCACAGACGTCTCTTCATTTGACATAATACAGTTCTTGGCTGCTGATAACACGTATGTTTCTTCCTTCTACCCAAACCTTTAGTCTCTCTCTCTATCAAACACAAATCACTCTTCACAAAGACTTTTTTTTTTCTTTTTTTTTGTGTCTTTGTCATTTAGTTTTTTGATTCAAACATATCTATCAGCTGATAAAGAGAATACATTAAAGTAGTTGATTGAAAATCATATATTCTCTTCTCCCTCTTCTCTATATAGAAGCTGAAGCTCTTCCAATTCAAAATATCTTTGTATTTGAAAACGAAAATCTATTTCGCAACATTTTCTTTCGCAATGACTATGTTGAAGATTAGTCGTTAGAGCTACAAAACATGACAGGCTTATACATAATTAATGTGTTGCTTTCATAAGATTAGCACAAATAGCCTATATAGGAAAGCAATGAAGCCATCATTCGAACGAGAATAAGGGATTATCCAACTTTAGATGAGAAGAATAGAAAATAATAAAAAAAGAAATATAAATTCATTATTATTATTATTATTTTATATATTCGTTTCTCATTTTTATTCATCTCTTCTTACATTCAATACATATTCTCATTGAATATAGGTGATATCTAAATTATAATAATCCAAGCCTCACACACTCACACTCACACTCACACACACATCAACTTCAATTAGCTCTAAAGAAAGAATTTAATATGGAAAATTATATTCTTACTTTGCCTTCATTATCAACATATTCAAGACAATTTGTTTTGTATAACTTATTATAATTATTATATGTATAACTAATTGGATTCTATGTTTAGAACACCAGTGGACAGTCCTGTTGATCCCAACAATCAGGAACAAATAAGAAATCAGAGGACCAATGTACAAAACAACAACGATCTGTCACATTTACCACTAGGACAGACTACAAACCTCATAAACCCTAATTCAAATCAAATATTAAATCATCCGCCAAATATGCAGAACAATTATATGAATCATCGGATGAATTTATTACCAGTCACTCATCTCATGTATCAGGTTAGTTTTTCATTTTTATTTTTGTCATCTCTCTCTCACTCTCTCTCTCTCTCTCTCTTTCTCTCATCCCTCTCTCTCTCTCTCTCTTTCTCTCATCCCTCTCTCTCTCTCTCTCTCTCTCTCTATCTATTCGTATTACTTACTAATCCTATATTGTTTTAGAATAATGGAAGATTACCAGATTCTCCTCCTATAACAGATATATCGGGAAATGGTTCATCAGCCTCTCCCTCAAGCAACTCTGACCCACCATACAGTCCTGATACATACTCAAGCTATTCAGGCGGCGGAGGTATCGAATATCTAAATAAACTTTATAAGATAAAGAAAACTTAAATTCAATCTCTTTCAATTCATCATTCCATTTCTTTCTTATGCGCGCAAAGACTGATATTTGAAATAGAAAACGAGAATCATCTTTATTATAAAACGCTATCGTAACTCACAATTGCTTGTTACTACCTGTCACCCATCTGATAACATTATTTACACGTTTTTAAAGCTTCTATAAACCTCTATGGAATGCTATTGATAGAACGATAAAATTGATTGGGCCCCTTTTCAAGTTTTCATAATGCGCCTGATTTTTCTTTTTTTGACAAAATATCGCGATAAGATAGAACTAGGGGTCGAAAAGGGTTCTTACATTAAACACAAAGAAATACATATATAACTAATTCGAATATTGTTTTCAGCTCAAAATCAGAACTCCAATCATCAGAGCTTAATACTGGGAGTACATGATTTACATAATGGTCTCATGGTTGCTCCACAGGAGCAGATGCAAATGTATCCAAGGTACTTATAGCTTATATTATATATTATCTGACAGAAACCTATAATATATCCTTTGAAATGCTATCTAATTAGATACAATCTCTTTTGCTTTCCAAATTATAGTGCATTTGAGCTATAATCTTATTGATTTGCACCTATTCAGACAACTGCACAACCCTATGAACGTGAATGACGGAAATTACATTGTTCCTCAATACGCGCATGATCCCTCTCTCACTCAGATCCCAGAGGTAAAATTTGATTAAATGTTCTTCCGTTATAGCATATGACCTGGTTATAGATTCATCCAGGACAGAGTGGACGCAAAAATTTGCGCAGACAAAACTATCAATTGAGTGGCAGCTATCCTCAGGACCAAGCATTGTATACCATGCTTGGATCCCAAGATCAGTTTATGAGGTTTGTTTATCATTAAAACATATTTTAAATATTTGTTTTAGAAAGCGACCAAGATTAGACGACGATATTGAAGAGATGGATGAGAAAAATCCTTACCTTTTGGAATCTCCTCCTCTCACTGCTGGTGTAAACTCTATGAGTATGTCTGGTGGTATGCCTCAAGATCCTCAGAGTGGTCAATATGGCATGGCTCCTGCCCAGATATCTACACCACCATCTATTTCACATACACCTCAATCTGGACCTTCACCTCCATGTGGCCAATCTGGAAATTCGCTTCCAGCAAATGCACAAACTCATTCAATGCCACAAAAGTCTGTCTCACCAGATTCTGCAATGCGTCAACAGCAAGAGCAACAACTATCTGGTAACGGTACTGCTACAAAGATCTTGCAGTCTGGAGGAGGAGAATATAGCCAGTCTATCAATATGATAACTAATAGATATGCTAAAGCCGAATCTCACTTACCGCATAATCCAGTCATCAAGTTCTCCAAATTCGAAGAAGACAAGTGGCTACCTCTGTATGACGCTGAGAGAAATGAGCTGGAAAAGCTGCAAGTCCATGTTGTGGCTGACAAAGGATTTAATTTTTCCACTCCTGATCAATGCTTCGTTAATCAAAAGAAGAATCACTTCCAGGTGAATGAATATACGAAATAACAATAATAATAATAATATCTTATAGATCTCTGTACATATTGAAGCAATTGACAACTTACCCCCTGTTTTCGTCAAGAAAGATGGTCATTTGATTCCAATCAAAGATTTCAAGCTTGTATTCTGTGGTGTAAAATCAGAGATGCCAAGTTGTGAAATTCAAATCAAACAATCTCAAAATGATCGAAAACCAATCAATCACGATCCAGTCACGTAAGCTATAGAGCTGAATGAATCCAGTATAGTATATATTCGTTACAGAATCAAGATTATCGAACGCCAGATGACTAAAGTGACAGTCCCACGCTTGCATTACCAGGATACAACAATGAATAATCAACGAAAGGGAAATCGTCCAAATCCAGAACAAAAATACTTTTTGCTCGTCATTCGTTTGGTTGCTCAAACTGAAGATGGACAAATACATATTATCCAATCATATCAGTCAGAGAAAGTCATCGTTCGAGTAAGTGAATATTCTTTTACAGAAAAAAAGAAGAAAATGAATGAGTTGTATCGAAGAAAGAGTTATTGATAGATAAAATATGAATGAAACGAGTTAGAGAAGAGGAAACGAACCGATAGATGTATTCAAATTAGAATGTGGACTTTGGAGATTTAGCATTGTTTTTCGTAAAGCAAACAGAAAGGAGTAACAATGAAAAGCTGAGCGAATGAGAGAGAATAGAAGAGATAACCGGCTAATAGTAATGAAATGAGATTTGCTATTTGCTTGGCATAGACGATTTCTTCATTATAAATGCCATAAACATAGCCAATATCTGCATCTGTTATCTTCTCATTTCTCTAAATTATTCTGAAATGTTCATGATTGAATTGCTACATTCTTGATTTAATTTATTTATATTTAGGCCACCAACCCTGGCTCATTCGAGCCTCCAGAGGTTGAAGTTCAGTGGCAACGAAACGGATCACTTCTGTATACTCAAAACACTGTTGCCATTGGTTCTGATATCAGTGTTGGAGATGCAAAACTCAATGTACATGGAGATATATACCATGTCGGAAAGGTATTTTATTATTTATTATTCTTTGAATATACTTAATATATTCATTAAAGGTTATTACTCCATCTGATTTTACGCTGAAAGAGAACTTCACCGAAAAGGATTGCAGTCAAGCTTTGGAGAATGTACGAAAGCTTCACGTTGTTGGATTCTCATACAAGCCAGAAATAGCTGAAAAATGGGGTTTACCTGACTCACAAAGACATAAGACAGGATTGATCGCTCAAGAGCTTGCTGCTGTGAGTTAAACATGAAGAAAGAAGATTGAAGATACAATTGTTTCAGATTCTACCCGAAGCTGTTCATGACATTGGAGATTATCTTACTGTCGATGAAAACCGCGTCTTTTATGAAACATTAATGGCCACCAAAGAGTTGTGCAGACTTACTGGAGATTTGGACAGTAAGATTGACGATAAAGTCGAGGAGATCAGTGCACGTCTCGCAACTTATGCAAGGAGAAAGAAGCTTTTGAGTACATCAGGAACCAATTTGACTAACACAGACATTGATTCTAAAAGTGTTCTGAGTTTGAGCTCAGTTGTCTCGAGCAATGTTTTCCAACGACGACGAGTACGTTAACTTAATTGAATTCAGAATAAATCTTTCTCATTATAGCAATGCCGATCCAGCTGCCGACGTCCTGATCCTATCTGCAATTCTAAAATAACCCAAGGAACTGTTGTTGCCCTTGTATTTGTTATGACTGCTTGTTTACTTGCCATGTCGGGATTGTACATTCTCGATTGGTACAATCGGAATTTCTCTCTATACTATGGTCAAAACTCCCGAAGCTACCCATCCGGAAATGATAGAGGAGAAGATCCACCAGGCCAAATGATTGTACCGTATGGAATGTCTCAGCCGGACGCGCCGCCATTAGTTGGCTCATTATGTCCGGAGGAAAATTGTTATTCATATTGTTGTCATAGTAGCCTGGATTTCATGGAAAGCATATTACCAGCAGCTGCAGCACATGATGAGGTTCGTGCACCTAGCGCAATATTCATATATATATAATGAATTTCAGTTCCACTTCCACTACCAGATGGATCTAATGGATATGAGAAGACCAGATTATGGTATGGCACGAGCAATGGATCCAAATATTTTTGCTGACGGAGTTGGAATAGAAATTCCTTCTCTTAATACAACCATTGATGGTCGGTATTGTGTTGAAGGCAGTTGCAGCCCCAAACGTAACAGCTATAACTTGTACATACCTGTCTCTCCTTATTTACCCACTATCTCGATTGATCTTCGATTCAAGTAAGTTTTGAATGAGTGAAAGCCATATAATTAATCTTTCTTCTATAGAATACCTAAAGGAAAGATTGTAAATAACTGTGGTTATTTGGCTGATTTTGAAAACAGACACTGTAGTGCTGATTCAACTCCTTCCTATGAGAATGGTGGCTATCCTACTTCTTACCCGGTTAGTATCTATCATTAGCAAGCTCATTAACTAATTTTTCAAATATAATTATAGATTGATGAAATTACTTACGAGTTATCTGTTGGACAATATTTACAATCAGCCTATCGATTCCGTATCGGTTTTACGACAGAATCATGTTTTGAGACTGAAGATAATATGCCTGGCAGTTATGACGAGTATAATCTTGTTTTCTATCGCACCTGCACTACAGCAGTTGCTGATGATAATTAAGACAATAGTAACTGAGAAGAAGAGAATGGAATTAAGTATTTATGGATTCTGTTCTAATTACATTCGCTTTGTATGTCTCTTATTATAATCAAACGTAGTAAATTATCCTGGTAATATTGTATAAAGGCATGCAATGGACCGCAATATCTTTGCATCATTACGGCAAATCTGCAAGAACTCTTCTCGTGTAATATGTCCTTTGTCATGCTTATCAAACTTCTGAAAACGCGTAAAAAGTATTAATATTCTATGAATCCTGGTATATCTTATTACGAACCTCAAATATTTCACGTGTACGTTCAGCTAAAACACGCCGCGATGAGCGTGGCAATGCCTTTTTACCTGAAATATTATACTTGCTTACACTGTAATGAATAAACTGTTTTTACACCTATTAGACTATCAGCTGATGTTAATACACAATGCATACGATCCCATGTAACTCGACCAACTCCTTGTGGATCATAAAACTTATAAACCCAATCTATTTTTTCTTCAACTGTTCCACGACAGAGAACAGACAATGCTTTTACAAATTCCTATAATGAACATGATCATTCAGAGCTTATGAAGGATACCGTAATAACCATAAAGCTAATTGTACCATTACCATCATTGTCGAATGTATCAAATAAGAGATCAGAGTAGAAGCGAGAATCACCTTGTGGAAAGAGTTCTGTGAACTTTTCACGTAATATCTCTAAAATTAAAATGATTATTCTCCAGCTCTCTTTCTCTCTCTATTAGAGGATGTGATGTAAACCTCTATTAATCAAAGCGTTAGGGGCTGTTTCTTTGAATGCTCTATAGATTGCTTTGATTTCATTTTTAGAAAAATGTGTTTCTTCCATAACCTTAAGCAATAGTCTTGTCATGGTTGTTGTTGAGACAGAAGCACCTGTTTTAAGCTGGGTGGACGGTAGGACTGAGAATGAATTGAAGAAGCCAATGGTACATCTGGTCCAAAATCTTAAAAATATTGAAAATAAGGAATCTTTTACTTATTAATGCTTTACCGAGAATCGGTCCATCAAAATCAGCAGTAACCGCAATAGCTGGTCTTCGTCGGAATGTCATATATCCAAGGGGGAAAGAGCTGTTGAAAAACAGAAAATTAACGAAAAAAATAAGATACAACGATATCTTTCTATCAAAATGTAATTGAAAAACGTGAGTGAGAAAGAGATAAGTAGAAGGAAGAGCATTTTAATGGATCCAATAGAATTGGTTGAGGAAGTAAAGTGAATCGAAACATTGGAATTTTACGTCATCTTAACCATAGACAGTTATATGAATGGAAAACTTATGAAGAATGAAAAACAAAAATTGTCGTTACAATTGATTATTGTTTCGAAACATTGTCGTTGCTTTTCTAGCCGATAGCTTTGAGTGAATTTGTCGATAGACTGATGGGAACAAACGTATGTGTTGAGAAATGCTCACAATGTCTCTATCTAATCAAGCGACTGCCTGCTGTTCACATCTGTTAGCGCGATGAAAGGTGATTTGGGATGAAGGGATGAAATGAGGAAAACGATGTTCTTTTGCCAATTCAAAATTGAAATTTGTCAGATTTGTTGTTAAAGGAGACTATGTGAATGCGATGCAGAGAATACAAGCCGAAGCACTTGCTACAACATACACTTGCTGACAGATAACCGAAACTCCGTAGTCTAGACGAATCTTGAATGTATCATTCGAATACTGTAGAAAACAACTTCTCCGTATATGAAGAGAATTCAAAGTGCGGTACTTCTGAAAAAACAAATTGAAGGTACGAGAAAAGTGGTTCTACAGTATGCAGTGAAATATCATTCATATTTTCTTACATTCTGTCTATAGAGCTCTCTGTTCAGGACTGTTGCTCGTAATTACAGGCTCGAAAGGGTAATTGAAACTGTGTACAATAAAAAATGGTAAGAAAAGAAGTTTTGTAGATTCAAATACCCAACTTAATACTATTTTGGCTCTGAAATGATGGAACATTCACTCATCAGCCTGTCAACAAAGGCTTTTCTTGGATCAAATGAGCTGCTTATGAGTATACCTGTATTTGTATTTTGGAACATTCAATTGCCTAATTATGTATTTATGAGGTTCTTTCACAATTCTCTAATCCTTCTCATCTCTTACGTTGAATTCCTCATAACAGCCGGCTATTTGTCAACAATGAACAGATTTTCCAAATCTTGTATTCAATGATCAAAGTATCTTCTCGGATCTATAATGTTTATGATGATTGTAATTGTAACCTACGAACTCAAACATACACTTATGGAATCGAGTAAAGTAGAGCATCGCCGCTGTTATGGAGTCTCAAGGTTTTCAGGAATTGGAAAGTATGAGATGATGATGAACATGTGTCGCAGCATCCTTATCCGGAAAATGAAAATATCTTCAGTTATCTACATCCATTGTTATTAGAAAGATATTATTATATTTATAATTAGTCTCAATGTTATCCAACTGTTCCAAACAACTCAGGTTATGTAATAACAACTGAACATCATGTTTTTCAACTCAAAATAACGTTGGCTTAATATGAGAGGGAGAGAGAAACAAAGCCGATTAACAGATTGAATGAAGGTAGTCGTCAATGACAGTCAACGAACACATTTACAACTTCCGTCGATGGATGAGTCTCACTCATCATGTATGTTTCAATAAACCGTTACTTGTTTCTCGATGAAACTTCTTTCAAAGATAGAACTCATTGAAGACACTTCAATTGTATAATCGAAAACTTGAACAATCATCAATGAATTGACAAAAGTGGTTGAAAAATCAATTATTGCATTGAATTCATCTCTTCATGTCTCGCCGCTTCAACTTACTTTCTCATTACTTAGGTTTAACATGTTTCCTTTCTGCTGCATCAACTAGTAATTTAGATAAACATATTGTGCTTCAACACTCCCCCTCTTTCTCATTCACATTCTCTCTCATCTAATACCTTTCTCTCAACTCTTCTCTCTTTCTCTTCTTTTTTCAATTTTTACTTTTCAGATCCCGACAAATATCTCATTTGTCAATCTTTCTCAAATCAAAAACCAAGACGCTTCCAAATTTGACCTATTTTCATAAATATTTGGCGTATCATCATACCTTTAACTGATAAAGAGTATCGTTTATAATTGAAAATTCTTTTCCTTTTTTTTATATTAATTATATATTATAATAATAATATGAATAAGCATACATCTAAAATAATCATTTTGAAAACCTCTCAATGCTTCTTAAAGATTTGAAGGATGAGATGTATCTTGAAAACCAGTTTCAATCTTCACACATTCTCATTCTTCTTGACCTTTTTCATTAATTTAAATGAAAAAGTTCATTTATGTACTATTGGTCAACTCTCAATTGATTTGTTGAGAAAAAAAAAATTTAAAAATCAAACCATTTGTCATCTTGAATCATCTCAGACATGTTGATCTCTCATTGAGACGTTCACTCTATACACTTCCGCAATTATATCATGTAATTACCGTAAGAAAAAATAAATATTAATAGACAAATGCTTCTCATAACTGTATGTGCATGTCAGTCTCGCCTCACTGCAACACATAATTTTGGCGCGCGTTCCGATTTTTGAAATTAATTTTACTGTATAGCATAGATAGATAGAGAGAGAGAAAGAGAGACAAACAATAACATGTCTTAGTGAAATAGAGAACTTATTTTTAAAAAAATATAAAAAAGAAGGAAGGAAAAGAGAATATTTGATGGAAACAAGAATGATTCTCATTCTGCATGACTGTCAACTAATAGGTTGTTTCCTTTAAATATATATATATTTCCTTTTTTTTTATATTTTTATTCTCATTCCCAATCTTTTCAACTAATAAAATCATTGGCGAGACTCATTCGATTGCATTTTTTTTATTTTTTTTTGTCCGTCTCATCGTTCTTCTCAAGAGAACCATACTTAAGACTAACGTCATTAAATTCATTTTTTATTGCCTTCATCTTCAGTTACTCGAAAACAGCACCTCATTTAAGAGAATCTAACATCTTATATTTCGTTTTCATCATCATCATCATCGTTTGTGAATGCTTTTCTGAACATGTTTTATCTATTTATTTTTATTTGACTTCATCTGCATCTTCTTTTTCATTTTCCATAGCTTTTCTCTTTCTCAACTAACCTAAACCCGCCCTATGACTCTTCAATCAGCCATCCTTCTAACCCTCTCTCCTTCTACTCCACCCCTTCCGTCCACTTGCTGTCATCAGGTCATGAAAAGATAAGAAGAACTGGAAGTTCCATATCAAACAACCAATTTTTAATCATTTTTCCGCTATTTCAATTGTGTGCAACACTATTGATACTGAAATAGAATGAAAACTTCAAATGATAATGATGATGATGATGATGATGATGAAGAAAGTAAAGTATGGTTTATCAATTCATTTTATAGCTTGTTTTGAGATAATGACGCAATACATGTCTATCTTCATGTACTGGTGAGCTTGTCTGTGCAAAAACTATATTATTCATGGATAGTTGACGGATTCAAAATGTAAAATTCTGGTTGCATTTTTTCAGTTTTTCTTCGATCATCAACAATCCACTCAAATATGCTTTTTTGTCTCTTGACCACCAAGACTTTTCACATTATTTGTTCTTTTTTTTTACAATAAGATATGTTCATTCTATAGACCTGATGATGACGACACATACACTCTTCTAATATCCTTCTTTATACTTTACTCTCTCTCTCTCTCTCTCTCTCTCTACATGTTTCTCTCTCTCTCTCTCTCTTTATCTTTCACATATCATTTGCATTTTTGAGTTCTTTATCCTTTACTATTGACTTTCTACTTTTTTATTTTGAAAAAAGTATTTTTTTTTGTGATTATGAATTTGTGAACATGTATAAGATGGTTATAGAGAGATATGTAGTCGGAGAAGTACTTACAAATGAAATAGTGCCTTTGAAATGCGATTAGATTTTTTGTCGTCCGTTATTCAACTCTCTCTCTCTCTCTCTCTCTCTCCCTCTCTTTTTTCTCTTTTCATCTTGTCCGCTTTCGGTTCGTCTTCATTTATCGAACAATGACCAAAAGTGCAGATATTTTCTTTTTTTTTTTTCATTTTATTCTGTCCATTTCAATTCAATGCTTAGTCATCTTACACTATATGTACATTAGCTCACATGTTCTAGTCTATATAATAGACATAATTTGCATGTTGATTTGTAATATATTCCATCTTTGAACATGCATCATCTTGCCGTTAGTTTTCAATCTCCCCTCCCTCCCTTTCCTATTCACCGTTTATGCATGTTATTACAGGATGTTCTTCTAATACGTATTGAAATAGATATAGAAAGTAAATAATATATTTGTTCATTTCATTTTCATATTTACCCTAATCCATACAGTAAACTGATAAGAATCATCTTATTTTTCAACTTCAATTCTCTCTCTCTCTTCTCTCTCTCTCTCTCTCTCTCTCTCTCTCTCTCTCTTCATTCTACTTGTTATGATTACTCTCTTCTACAATAACAATTGTGTTGAATTTTGAGATATCTATATATATATTTATGTTATTTTCTTTTTTATACAACTAATCTCAAAACTTTCAAATTGTCTTCCTTGTTCACGAAAAAATTTCTTTTTTTTCCATTTTTTTTGTTGTTTTTCCATTTATTCGCATTATCTTGCTGTTGTTTTCAGATACTGTTGGCTGATCTGCCTGTCCCTCTCTGTCCATAGGAAATACACCAATTGAGGTATATCTCTTTGTGATTTTCTTAACAGAAACAAAAATGTGTTGGAGATGAGTGAAAACAAATGATGACATGATTAGAGTGTAGAGAAGAGAAGAGACAGCTGCTCTTAAAAACACAAAATTCGTTCACTGATATTCAAACTCTTGTATCGGTTACGCCTTTGTGAATTTTTAAACTGAAATAAATGAGAAAATGAGAGTGTTGAACAAGTTGAAGAAAATGAAGAGACGAAAGGAATGTTAAGGATGAAGAAAAGTAAGTGTGGATTGTGAGAGAGATAGAGAGAGATAGAGAGATATATAGATGTGCGTGAAAGAAATTGAGAGAAATGAAGATATCTTCTGGATGAGAGATAGAGAGAGATAAGATGAAACAAGAGACAATGAGAACGAGATTGAAGTTGTTGAGCGAGAGAGTGAAAGAGAATGAGAGATAGATTAAGAGATATAATGAGGTGAGAACTCAAAAAGGGGTTCATATCCCATCGGTATCACAAAAGAAAAAAGAAAAAAAAAGACACAAATGTTTGTTTAACCTGAATAATCAATGTTTAAATACTCTTCTGTTCTCGATTGATCAAAGTATAACAACCAAAAACATATGAGAAGCATTGAATGGTTATCAGTCAAATACCTAATGAGAGAACTACCGCCAAGAAAGAGAGAGACAGAGAATGACTTTCGCTAAACGCAAAGAGATATCCACACACATACACACACACATATTCCTATCGTTCCTTCTCTCTTTCTCATCATCACCAACCATTTCCTGTTAACATGAACGATGATGTTATGCTAAAATGATATTTAAAAAACATATTTTTTTTGGAATAGATTGATTGTATTTACCATTTCATTATGATCAACTGATAAGATTAGAAGCTCATTGATATTCATATCAATCAGTTCATCATTGTTTTTTGTCTGTTATTCTATTTATTCTCTCTGTCTAGCTTCATCGTCATGCATGTTCTATGTATGTACTGTCAAATACTAAATGAGTTTATTGACTTTTCAATTATCTTTCATAAGTAATTATAATTTATTGCATAGTATAGACATTTTTATGTCATTAGTCTTTTTGTTTTGTTGGCCTAGACGTACTGCCGACATCACTACTGGCCTCTCCTCCATTCATTCATTCATCCATCCATTCCATGTGTTCCGTTTTTCAAGAAAAATGATAGTTTATCAGGCCTATCGTGTGAAAAATCGGTCATATATCGATTTTAAAATGCTGTTACTCAAGAAACAAAAAGACAAAAAGCCGACGTATCAATGAAAAACGTGAAAATGGTTTCGGACAGGCCAGTTCTGTTTTTCATCAATTCGTAACTTCTCTCCGTCATCGTCTTTTCTCTTCTTCTACATGTTGCAACTTGTGTATGTGTGTGTATGGGTGTGTATGATAGACTAAAAAAAAAAAATTAAAAGATATTCTTGCATTGGGATTGGGTGGATGTATGTATGTTGGATGACTTGAATATTTCCCGTAAATTGAATTTCTTTATTCGCTAAACGATGAACAAAGATAGAAAAATTAAATCCTGTTTAAACTACGTTCCTTTTTCATCATTATTGTTATATTGAAATGAGGTTTTCTCATCTTTTGACAACATCATCTGAATATTATTATGAAAACGGCTTTCTATCTCTTCATTTCAAGTTTCAAAAGAGCTTCCTCTCTCTCTCTCTCTCTCTCTACTTGTTGAAGAAGGGTTTCTCTCTCTCTTTTTCTATTTCTCAACCTTTTTGAGTTTCAAAACGACTTTCTCTTCAATTCAAAACTAAAAAAGGTTTTCTTTCTATTCTTTTTGATCTCAAAAAAGGTTTTCTCTTCATCCACTTTTTGAGATTAAAAATGCATATTTGCTTTATATTGATTGACATTATACTTCGATATTCCTTAGATTTACCAATATTAACCAAATATTTAAGATCAAGAATGAACACTTCTGTCACTATTCTCTTATTCGAAAACGAATTATCGTCAACTTTGCGATCATGTTACAAAGCTGAAAAGGCGGCAGACAGAGAATTATGAAATGAAAATGCTTTTCTCCTTACTAACTTTCATTCATTCATAACTACAATATGAGAAAGAGAATGAAATCAATTCATAATCTCTGCTTTGCTATCGCTTAGCTGAATCATTAATTGAAATGGCAAATATGGAAAGAGAGAGGGAAGGGGGAGAGAGAGAGGGAGACAAGGAATAATGACGGTTCAGAGAGTTAATTGACAGCAAACCTTAGTTATTGAAGGATTTGAAGAGAGAGAGAGAATGATAGAGACAGATTAAGATGTAGAGAGTGTGAGAGAAAAAAAGAGAGAAAGAAAGTATGCGGTACTTCATTACTTTAGAGAGGACAAGCAAATAAAGGCCAATGGGCTAGACTAACTCTAGCTTAACGGACTGTGCAGCCAGATTAGCTGTCCGATGACAGGGTTGAGATATCTCAAAACGCTTTTGCGCTGTATAAGCTTTTGAATTTATCGTCTTTCATCTGATTTCTTAGAAGATCCTCTGTTTGTAATTAAAGATCCATCTAGTTAAATCTTTAATATTCATTCATAATTTCTTTTGTTTCCTGTCTTTGCTTATCTATCTTTATCTGTGTTGCTTCATCTTCATCGGTCAAGCAGTCTTCAATCTCGTTTGAATCGACTACAGGTTATAGATGCTAGTCGTCTCCATATTTCATCTAATTTCAATGCACTTAGCACTATCATTAACTGTCTTTGACTGTTCCATCGTCAAGTTCAAGGCTAATCATCATATGTGAATGAATGTTTGTATGTGTATGAGTTGCAACTATGAATTGAAAGAAGTTAAAGCTTGTGTATAGTTTGTATGTTGTTTCGAATGATTGAGTTGGTGTACATTCGCTTAAATGGACAATTATCTTAAATGAAACCTTTTTGCTCGTTTTCACTACAAGTTCTCTGTTAAATTAAATACAAAATTAAATTGTCTACAATTTTCGTTTTACAATGCTTTCGAAAATGAGTTTATTCATCGTTCTTCGCTCAAAAGTCTTCTTCTTGCACTATTAGCTGAACTAGCGGTCGTATTTAAATCGAAATCTTCTTTTATTCCTTTTAATGTGCTTGATTGCTGTGGTGGATTATCGAAAGTCGCTTGCATCTAGCGTGGCACTAGCCAGTTCAACATTTCAAACATCAACGTATAGAGAGAGATAAATGGAAATGAAAGAAAAGTTATTTTTGAACTTTGCTGGAAATCAAACATGAACACTGGAATGTGTACATTCAGCTATCTATTGAGCAGTCTATATGAGAAAACTGTCATTAGACTGTTCTTCTATATTCTCTTTTCTCATTCATTTTCTATTTGCTTGTTATGATTCTTGAATGCATCTTCATACATTCAAAAACCATTACCTTCTAGACCATTCTAATCAATCATATCGATCGATAATCATAGTCACTAACTATATGATTTGTATTTTGAAATCACAAAAAAAGGCCTTCCAATCTATTTTCTTTGAATCATATTGCCTTCATTAGCGTCAGTATTGGATAAATGGAATCATACAATTTGTCTTTTATTGAACGCTACAGGTGGTGACTTCTATGTTTGTATGGCCAATTCATCTCCAGCCCGATTTGTCATTTTGCGGAGAAATCATTGTCTCTTCATGACTAATGTATTTGTGACACATGTTTGATTTAGAAAAAAGAGGTAACTTTGACATTCTGTATTGTATTATATTCAAACACGTACATATATATAGATTGTTCATATTTCAATATGTGTGATCTTACTATCTCCGAATGATTGTTTCAATCAGAATCCTTCTCTCTCTCTCTCATTTGCTTTCTTTGTTGACTTACCTTTACCTTCTAGCTTATACTGTTATAAGCATTCTTATAATACGGAAGTTATATAATCATCTATCATCTGAAATGATGTGATGTGAGATATCGATAGTTCCAGACTTGTTAGCTCAGTAGTGACATACAAATCAAACAATCATTCATTCACTCTCTCTCTTTCTCTTTCTCTTTCACTCTTTTTTCGACAAAAAGGTTTTTCCTTCTTCAAATCATATGATATGAAAATAAGAATTTAACATGCTGTATATGAGCCATTTTTACTTTTCGACGTAGTTTTTGTTTCTCATCATTAGTCAGCAGCAAATTGAATCATATTCTATTCACAATTGAAAGGATGACAAATTTGAATGTAAAAGCTTTTTCTTCTAGTATTTCATTTGTTTAACGTGTGAATTGTTAGAAGGGAGAGTGTGATATATATATAGAGAGAGAAAGAGGTATAGACAGAGAAATAAAGAGAGAAGAAGAAGAGAAGAGAGAAGAAAACAGAGAAAACAAGAGATTGAATTAAAAATTTGTAAAGAGAGCAATGCCAGTAAAGAAAAATGAAAGAGAGAGAGAGAGAGAGAAAGAGAGAAAAAGCAACAAAAAACTTTTTTCTTTCTTTCCTATTTATGCCGACATACATCGTAGAGTCTCAAATTGAAAGTTGTAATGAAATCGTTATCGAAATAATTAAAGTGAGGTAGAAAATGGATGTTGGAAACATTTGTCTGCCCTTGATCAACCGACAGCTACTACTAGTCTTTACATTTCAACCGGTCCATCAATGTTCTTTGATTTATGTGTAAACTTACTCCCCAACAAGCAATCATTTGTTTGCGTGCTCATGCATGATTGCTACATGAATTATCTCGTTTTCTTTTTTTTTTCTTCTCTCTGTTAACTATTATATTGTATCATTATAATGTTATTGTATCTGATTGAGAGGGAAGTATCCATTGACTTAATTGTTTTTTGGGATGATAGAGAGATGATGATCGATAGATTTTTATAAAATATGTCTATGTATAGTTAACAATACTATATATTATATGTTTTCAGGGTAGAATAGATATGTCTTAATAGAGATGAGGTGTAATATACGTCGTGCATTCACTTTTGCGGTTATTCTGTTTGGAACCACTTTAGTTATCCTCTCTCTTCCTCGTAATAATGTTATTGGTAAGTATCGACCATTCAAACATCTTATTATAATCTTTGACATTTTAAGATGATGGACCTGAAGTATTCACAAAGCGTGCCCCTACAAAAGATTTTTCAAATTCCTTTTCGAGTATTAAAGAGAATAAAGCGCATGTAGTTGGACAACAGCAGCTTCCAATTCAGCCGGAGCCACCCAGTTTGCAAGAGGCTGAAAACGAAGATGATCTATTCGGTTAGTCTTCAAAGAAAATATTTGATGAGACGGCCGCGATAAGCCCTTAAAAAGAAATTAAGATGAATTTCGCTGATGATCGCGATGTGTTTTATAGATTTTCCTAGCCTATCAAACAAAATAGTATTGAATAAGCTGTATCCCATATTGAAAGGGGTTGACTTGAAACAACTAGCTCGAACGGAATGTGAATCAAATACAACATTAGGCGCTTATTGGAAAAGCAAACAGTAAGAGTTTGAAGAGAAATGGGAGAAAATAAATCGTTTTTTTCTTCTTCTCAGCATGGATGTGCAAACAGAAGATTCATGGGAGCATTTCTACTCTGATATTGGAAGTTGTAGTGTTTACAATGATGAAGAACTAATCGATAACTTACTGTATGACTTAAACAAGATGCCGCTAAAGTCTGTTCACATCATGGATGGAGGAACTCAAGTATAACTTGACCTTATAGACATTTCTCAACACAAATATTTAAGGTCAAACTCATATTCACTTTTATGAACGATAAGCAGGCTGTTTTCAAGCCAATGAGGTGATGAACAATCTTTTCATCAATTCTAAACGTTCTCATCTCTTTATAGATTTGGAAGAGATTATGAATCGGACCCGAATCATTTCTATTTTAGTGACTTTGAGAGACATAATGCTGAAATAGCAACATATCATTTGGATAAGTATGACTCTCTCTCATACAGATTCATGGTTTATGCTGATTTGTTATAGAGTTCTCGGTTTTCGACGAGCAGTTCCAACTGTTGGAAGAATAGTCAACATAACCTCTGATTTGTTTGAAAAGGCAGAGAAGAAGCTAAAAAAAACATTTTTCTGGTCACCAGGTTGGTGAACTGCCTACAACATATATGATTTTTGAATGTTACAGTCAAAAACCATTGTTTCGTTTCTCGTTGTGATTACTATTGTGATACAACACACGCAATATGCGGTGCGCCAGACTTGAAAGAAGGTTCCGTTCAAGTATTTCTACCAGATGAAACTCATGTTCCTCGACGACACAATAAGAGTCCATATAGAAGGTGATAATGTGAAAGTTGTAGTAAACAACAAGATGTATTCATCAGAACATATTCAAAGAAGAATCAACTGGCTGATTGGCAGACAGATATGAACTATTGTACAGATAAAGTCAAAACGAAACGTCAATATGCCCACGGGCGTCGACTTCTCGATTTAGTTGATTTACATATTTTAGATTATTTGATTGGTTAGTTATATATAATAATTATAATATATATATAATTAATGATTATAGGTAATCAAGATAGACATCATTATGAATCCTTCAACGTGTTTGAAGATATTCCTTCATATGCTATTCATTTGGATAATGGAAGAGCGTTAGTCATCATTATAATATTATATAATACTATATGATGATTTATTGTAGGTTTGGTCGCACAAATTTTGATGATGATGACATCATGCTGCCATTGAGACAGTGTTGTGTCATTCGTCCATCTACATTAAATACTTTGATAGATTTCTATAAAACACCCAAATCACTTGTTAGAGCTTTGCACCGGTCAGTTTCTATTCATCCATTGTTCTCATTTATAATTTCAAAATATTTTAGATCTTTGGGAAAAGATCCCGTCGCACCGATACTTCATAAAAAGCATTATCCAGCTATTGAACGGCGTTTACATAAAGGTTTACAACTCAATCCTTCTTTGGTCATTATTTGACAGAAATGAAAAAGAAATTAATATATTAATTATTAATCTTAAAAGAGTCTTAGAAATGATTAAGACATCACATCTTTCGTATTTCAGTGATGTCATACATAGTGGAATGTTTACAGCACAACCCCTTCACTTCTGTTGTCATTCCTGAATACGATAATCCAAACTATATGGAAACGGAAGAAGACGAAAATAGTTTACAGCAGCAAGTACCGGACGCTGACAAGAAGAGTCCAAAAGATGCTAATACAAAATAATTAAATTAATTTATATTTTGATAATGTGTGTGTGAATGTACTTCAGACTCTTATTAATTCCATACAACATCTTGTCTGAAGTGAATTCGTTCGATCTCATCATCCAAATCAATTCCGAATGATCGGTCGTTCCATTTGTTGTTTGTTAGGTGCTTTTTCTTTATATAGTTTCTATGGTTTGTAATGTGGGTAGATAATAGAGAGAATAACTATCTTTCATATATACATAGATCATACATCTAGCTGTATGATATACTGACATATGTAGTTGTCAGTATGGCCAATTGTATTATGTATATGATAGTTTATATATGTACATTACTGTCTGGGATTAGGTAGTTATTGAGATTTTGGTAATCATTATGTCTTCTAAGCTGCTATACTATATATTATAATGAGAGATTTTCCCCTTTTCCATTTTACTTTTTTCGGGTTTCCAGATGCATGTTTTAAATACTTTCCATTTAAAGCAATGCTCATCTTTCCTATTCATTCATTTGTATTCTGTTTAATTTGACTCGTTCTAATAAACTCTAAGCTATACACATTATCTCATACCAATGAAGCCTCATTTCATGCTTTCATTGCTGTCAGACAGAGTTTTAGATATCAAGTCCAAGAGGTTAGTTGTGAAAGTAGATTATTGAGATGTTTAATGCAATCTAGTTGCAGCATCTAGATGTGAGCGATCGAGATCAGGTAGATGATACATACAGTGTGAATAGCCTCCCCCCTTTCCCAGTCTGTCAGCACAGTTTGAATAGATGTATCTTCAAGAAAGTGACAACAGCAAATGTCAGTTCTCCAAGTACGTTGTCTTAACGATCTTGCATGCAAAAGACCTGTTCATTGAACTTTCTATGAAAAAAATAAGAAGCAAAAAGGATACGACTGAGCATATCTTCTCTCGTTTACACGCTCTAGCTTTAAGAAATAATTTTCTGAGAACCTTAACCCGTAAATATAAGAAAAGATTCCGTGTTATTCAATTAGTAATTTGATCATAATCGGCACAGAATATGTCTGATTGGCAAAATAAAAAGGAAATTCAAATGTTATATAATCCCATATATAGCTAACCGGCTATTACTTGATCAGCAAAGAGAAATAAGAAGAGGAAACGTGTCCACCAGATGCGTATACACATTGTCTACAAAGACATTTCAAATGATTTCCATGGTCTATTCAGCTGAATGACAAAAAAAAAGTTTGTTTTGTAACCTTTTCGTACATTTCATCAGATGTCTCGTCATTGCATTTAGTACAGTACTCTCTGATAGACATTCCCTTCTTCTATCCTACCTTCTATCTTAACCATTTGAATAGTTCAAACAACATTCATCATGTTGTTTGAGAAAAAGGCAACATTAAGCTCGATAAACTCATGATGTCCGAAGTGAATGATCTAACATCAGTTCACTTGAACATTCTTCATATTCCAATAGAACATTGCATCATTATTGGTCTTAATATTGTCATCAGACGATCAAGAAGATCATCCAAATATTAAATTCAAATAATTCAAATGCTCATATTCATTCTCTTCTAGTGTTTCTTTTTTCAAATTAAGTAATGACGTTATTACCAGCTTTTTGTCATGTGTGTGTGTGGTATGTGTGGTGTGTGTGTGCGTATATATGTGTTTTCATAATTGAAATTCATATTTTATAAGGAAAAATTGAATTTCATCAGTAATTCAACATCTTCAACAGCTTCTTCTCTTACTACTTTTACTCTTTTGTTATTTGTGTGGATAAAGAGAAAGAAAGAGAAAGAGATAGATAGATAGATGGAGATGGAAATATTTCAAGAATCTTATGTTTTTACAATGAAATCTATATATCTATCTATCTATATTTATATAATATTCATTTAAGCTCTTCTTATAGCTATGAACAATGAATACAAGTTGTGTTGATGACTTTGATTTTGATAGCTCAATTCATGTGTACTCTGTTAATTATTAATTGTTTGTTGAGCTATAAACACAATCTGTCAATATGTGTAAAGCTTCAAGATGTTTTTTAATTCACACAAAAAAGACATTTTTGTGAATTCTGATACTCTCTCTCTCTATCTCTATCTCTATCACTTCTACTCTCTCTATCCCTCTCTTCTAATAAGCTCAAGTAGTGATGTTTCTTTATGGGTTCAGTGAGCTCTGATTGTTGAAACTCTCAAATTTACTATCGTTGTTGTTGTTCTGAAGAGGAAGTAGAACATTACAATTCCTTGATTCTTCCATGTTCAACTAAGGATATTGAGAAACAGTTGTTTTTTGTCCTTGTTGAGATATGTGGTATAACATATTTGTATTCTTGATTGTATCATTCATTTCAATGATTACGTAAATGAGAATGAGATGTGTTCGTTCAATTAATTGTACTATAGTCAAACAAGGCGTACATGTATATGTTCTGCCCTTATAAGCTCAAATCATATGCTTCTTCAGTAGTTGTTAACCTTGTTTCTCTCAGCTTCTCATTTTCATCTATTTTAATATTTCAGATGACCAGTTATGTTACTGTTCGCTTTCTTGCTGCTCTCCTTACCATAACTGTCTTTTTCAATATTGAAATTACAACAGCAACAGTGGATATGAAATTTGATCCTAATCTCAAGGTATCCATCCATCCTAATGCATATTCATAATCTTTTTTTTTCTAATTAAAGTTGAATACATACATATTTCCTCGTTTCCGCAAAAGTAAAGATTGGGTTGAAGACGAAGTATGTCATATATGAATATATATATTATAAATATTATAATAATTATAGAATTGCGGAGTTCATAAAGTTGAACAAATACATTTAGTTATGGATCGTGTTTGTGAGATGTGCCATGAGATGTTTTCACATGAGATGAACAGCTTACGTGCTCAATGCAGGTAATTAATATAATATAATTATAATTATATAATTAATTAATATATAATTTTTATATATATTATAATAGACGTACAGTATACTATATGATATGAGATGATATACTATCACATAGAAATGTAGTTTGAAATGAAAAAAAAAAGGAAAAAAGAAAGAAGAGATATGTAGTAGTTTGAATAATAATTATATATTTAAATAATTAAATATATAAAGGTCACATATTTTAATTTCTTTCATTCCTTTCCTATTTACATTTCTTTTTTTCTTTTCAGAAGCAATTGTTTTGACAACAACTTATTTCGCAATTGCCTTAAACTATTCTCTGAGACAAAGAAGAGTGCATCACCATCAGAACGTCGCATTCCCGATGAGCCCATTATGACCTTAGCTAACTTCTAAAGCTTAATGGCATATGCAGATATTATTCTTAAAATAAAGAAAAGAAAAAGAAAAGAAAACATAACCAACACCATAAATACAATATACATACTTTAATCAATCAAAATGTTATTTCCTCTCTTTCCACCCCCCCTCTCTCGTCTCTCCCAACCTATGATGTGATTTTGTATTTGAAATGGTTTTTATTTCCTTTTATTTCATTTTTTATCTTTAAAAATAAACATTTTCTTTGCATAAGTCATGAAATGGAGATTCGTAGATGTATATATGTATGTGAATATCTATCTATCTTTGAGATGTATTTCTATATGTGAATGGAGATGCGGGTGTCCAAGAGTAATTGACAGATATCTTCATTTTCGAACATAACGTTCCCCTTTTCTAAAAAGAACTTTTCAATTGACAACTCAATTCATTCATATTTCTTTTCTTCTTCATTCTCCTTTCATGACTTTCTAATTCAATTACATTAAAACAATGAGAAGACATTGAAATATGGCAATAAATGCTTGTTATGATAACCAATTTCATCTTATGAACTGGTAAAGTATTAAAAATGACATTTTATTTTATAATTAAGTTCAATATGAGTATAGTTAATTGGTTTACAATGTTCTAATATATAGAGCATGACTCATATAAATTGTATTTTACTAAACAACTTAAACGATTCTGTTGAAGAAGATTGTAGTGCCAAAGACCAATCTCCCGTGGAAACTGCATTTTTTAGAGCATGTTAAAGGCTTGAAGGCTACCATTCATCCATCCCTCTTCGTCTGCCTCGAGTTCATTTCTTCCATTATATTCTTCCAAATACATTCGTTGGAAATGCTGCCAGCTCCTCGCGTACTCAATATATCCTGTCAAGATTCTTTCGATAGTCATGAAGATAATCAGTTTGTGGCTAGTGTCGAAGCTGAAAATCCTACTGATTACACTGTCACTTGTCAAGTTGTCTTCAAAGGGTATATTCGAGAAAAAGAAAAGCTTATATATGAATTTCTTCATGAACAAATATGGGCACTTATACCACCCAAAGGTTGCTAACTCCCAGTTTCTTTTTAAAACTTCCATTTTCAGCGACCACCGTGAAAGAAGTTTCAATTGATGTGTGGCTCAGTCGATTTCCTCCCACAATGCAATTGGGACAGAATCGTTCTGTTGAGTATGCTGTCAGAGCCTCTGTGGATCCGTGGTATGAGAACAAGTTTGTGGAGAAGAAGTTTGTAGTCAAGAGAAAGTTATACCTGAAAATGCCCCACGCGGCCTGTTATCAAACCAAGTTCAAACTAAACAAGTGTGTAGGTCATGGAACTTGGAGACATCGGCAAGTTATACAATCGGTAACCTCTTTGATGATATGCATTTAAGTAAATGCTCACCACTCAACCTTGAGTTTTATACAAATAAATCAGCTTTCGCAGTTGGAGAAAAAATAAAAACATGCTGGTTCATGCGAAGTGATTCAGCTATCGAAGCAATTCAACTACAGTTAGGACAACTTCTGGAGATAAGGTATGGGATGATCACTCGAACACCTCAAGAAATGAATATTTCAAGAGATCCAGATCCAGGTCACTGCCAGTTGACTCGCTTGCGGTACACTGTTCTAGCGACAAAGAACAATAACGTTGTTGCTAAGGCTAAGGAAGGAACATGTGACTTAGATGTTCCAAAGGAAATTCCCATCACAATCTCCATGTCTTTATGGAATGTTCTGAAGATCAGTTATGAGCTTAAGCTGGAGATAAGACCAGAAGGACAAAAAGAGTTGATTACTCATAGTTTCCCCATTATTCTGACAACCGTGCCTATTGAGGTTGGCATTTTCTTCTTTTTCTCAAGAGTTTTCACATTTTCGAGGAGATTATCTTATGCTTTTAGGAGTTCGCCCACGAAAAGGATGAGAAAGAATCTTTTTTCACGAGAGCTCAAGATGAGGATGATGATAGTATGGATGACGACGACATTGATACTCCCATTAACAGCGAAGAGAATGAGCCAACTAAGAGAGATTATTCTATTGATCTCAACGAAATTCGCATCAAAACCAGACGAAATGGAGATTTAGACAGCGCTTATGCTGAAGTGCTCTTTGAAGTAAACAGCAATAAGCCTCAAAAATTGGGTAATTTGCGAATGCTCTTTCAAGGAGTAGTTCGTGCAGGACCCACTTGGTATGAGTTTGTGAGATTCAAAGGAATTATTTCATCAAGTGATACGACTGCCTTCAGTCCTGGAGTTCATTCCGTTAAAGTTGCATTACCATTTGGAGAATCTCAGCTTGACTCAAAAATTCTTCCGCCGTCGCTAGGTGATGACATTCATTACACCTGTCGAGCGACTATGCTTCCATGGGAAAAAAATTACATTTCCATTGAAACGGATGTGTTCGTTGATCGTTTCGTTGATACGTGGGCAAAAGAGGAATATCGTGGAGAGTACCGTGAACAACTCGGTGCAGTGACAGCTTGCATGACTCAGCGTTGTTTCCAAAGAGGAAAGCATGCTTACGTACGATTACTTGGAACTGAAAAACTGCAAAACGTTCGTCTCGAATTAGTTCAACATAGACGTGTTAGACGTCCAGAGCTGACAGTTGACGATAGTTATTGCTTGGAAAGAATTGTTGCTACCAGACCAGCTCCTAGGAACTATGAAAACTGGCCGGTCGACTGGTCGATTCACATACCTAACACTGTTCCTCCTTCAGTAGAAATAAGTTATTGGAATGTTCTGATGATCAAATACTCGTTACTTGTTATTGCAACACTGGAAGACGGTCATGATCATCGCTATTTCATCCCAATATGGGTTGGTACAAATGATGATCATCTTGACCCACCAGAGAACCAGAAAACTACTGCAATCATGCATCGTGTGGAATCTCCTGATCTACCAGACTTACCTGAGTTCGAAGTGATTCATCCAGAAGAAACCATGATACAACCATATTGGGTTGATCGTTACAATCAACATACTTATGGCTATGATATGGACTGAGAACCGAAAAAAATCGATCCGCTTCTTTTCATGCCTGCCTGCTTGTTTACTTGCTCTATGGACAATACTTGTTGACCTAATGCGATTTACTAACCACTTTTTTTATCGATTACTAAGCCTTTATCATTGATCATCTGGAGCTAAGCTATGCGTGTTAATGAATCCCCTTATTGATTAGCCGAAAAATTCTTAAGCATATTCTTAACTAACTTACTTCTTGGGTATAGATATGTGTAGAAAGGAGATAGTCATAAACGATTGTATGATTACATACATCATTCAAGCGATAACTATTAATTGACAAAATTTTATTGCCCTCTAAAATAGATAAAGCATCGCTTCTCTACCTTTTCTTTAAGCAAACTGTTGCAATGCCTTCCCTGCTTGCTTCTTTCTCATTCGTAGTTTTGATTGGTAAGTTTTTGTATATAAAAAAATAAAGCTTTCTGCTTGCATATCAATATTTGATGATTGATGGAAATTTTCTTTTGTTAAAGGATGCCTTGCTGCTCAGCGTCCTTCAGGGTCATGTGACTTTCAAGAGCTTCAACGATGCCAAGCGGCTTTCAACGATGAAATGAAAATTCAGCGTACGTGACTCATCGAGATCTAGTGATATACTTCTTGATTTAGGTGATCTGTCTGTTCAGGACTATGACAAACTTAGTCGTTCCATCCAAACTGTGTGGGCTAACAATGGAGCTGCTGGTGTTCAAACTACTTGCAATGCTTTCAAATCTTTCAAGACATGCTTCATGTATGCTGTTTTCCAATTGAAACTAAATTACAAAATGGTTTAGAAACTCTGATCATTATTACAATTGCGTCCAGGACCCTCTGAAGCTTCTCATTGATTCTAATGGGTTTGAAATAATGATACAACAACATACGTTCGGTTTTCTCTTTCTTTAGAACTGCTACTGGCATTACCAGAGAGCAATCTTATGGTTACGACAAAATCTTCAATCAGTTCGATTTTGCTTGTGGAGCTGGCTTCATGGGTAGAAAATAGATAACAATATATATTAGTGAACTTGCTCGTTGATAGGCTTTGCCAATAACGATGCTTGTGGATCAACTGTATTCAACATGCGTACTCGTGATTTGGATAACTGCCAAAACGCTTTCATCCAAAACGTTAACACAACACCCCAAAATGCATGCTCGTCAGTTCTATGAGAAAATAGGATGAAAAAACAAAAAAAACTACTTTACAGTTTTGTTGCAATTGCCAAACAATGTGTATCTGATGTATTTGCATCTCAATGCCCGAATGCTCCAGAGATGGCATGGTGGGGATGTCAATATGAGTTATCAGGAACTCAACTCTTGTTCCCTCAGTGTACACAGATATTCTGTACTTGTGAGTATATCTTATACTTTATTAATTTGAATCAAAAATCAAACAAATTAAAATTTATATATTCTCTTATAGATAACGAGCAGCGTAGATGAACTGGATGACTCATATCAATCAAATTATATTGAAAATGAAATGAAAGAAACCATTTTGTAAAAGTAATATGTTGTTCAATATTCTTTTAATAAATATGATAAATGTGAAGTAGAAATGATGTGTTCTGTTGTTCTTTTCTCTAATTCTCTATATATGCCATAATCTATCTTAATTATGTGTAATATCTAACTATGATAAGACTCAATGCACTCCGACCACACATGAAGATTCAAATAGGTATCACAGAGGTGTGTTGATGGTGGTAATAAGCATAATTGATTGAATAACTATCACTCAATTACATATAGATGTATATATCTGCATACATTCATATAACATTCTATCATTATAATATAAATATTGATACATTGTGTTTTATCTTTACGATTCAGCTGCCTCTATACTTCCAATTATCAGTTGCTCTTTGTAAGCAATGAACGTACTACCCATATTGCTAGCTATTCTTGTAGGTAATCATCTAACCATATTCTAATTATATAGTTATTATATTTTCTTTCAGCTATTCATTCAGCTGCCGCTGATGATGATTGCCAAGATGATGTATATCAAGGCTGTCAAGATAAACTCAATGCTGCTTTAGGACTTTCGGACCCACAACCATGGCATAGTCCTGAGAGTTTTCGTTATCAAGTATAGATTTTCAACATGACTTCCGCAAAAAATAATTTATCTTAAAGATTGAAAGCCAGTATGAGAATAGTCCTTTGGATGGTACTCGCAAAGTCTGCAAGTGAGTAATGTGAACACTGAATAGTCTATCTAAGTTGTTCTAACTTCCTAAATTCATTTTTATAGAGCTTTCCGCGAGTTCAAGGTGTGTATGGGTGATCAATATCAGAAGTGCATTAACCCTCTTCACTTCGTTTTGTCTTCTGTTACACCTTATTCTGCTTTCCAATTTGTCTCTACCTTCAACACCCTTCAATATACCTGTGGAGCTGGTTTCCAAAGTAAACAAGACTAGATCTCAAAAATTTTTTTGAAATCATAGATGAGTAATGATTCTTATGAGAAAGAGCGTTTCAGCAATGCTGAGACAATATAATTGCATGAAGAACGCTTGGAATACAGCCAACTCTCAGCAACTGAATGCTTGTCGCACTGTATTTGAACGTAGAAGTAATGACATTCCAGAAAGTGCTTGCTCGTATGTATCAATAGTTTGTAATCTAATTAAGATCATTTTGAAATAGATTCGCAAGTACATATTTGGATTGTTGGGAGAATCATTTCCGTGATGTATGTGGAAAAGGAACGGAAGATGCTCAATTCTGGGCATGTGAATATTCAAGAATTAATGTATTTACCCGTTTCCCGCAATGCTCAACTAAGTGTGTATGTAAGTATCTTCAATAATCATAATCTATATGATATAATTAAATGATATCATTTAAGTGCCTTACTATGGTGGAATAATTGGATAGATAGCTTCAAACAGATGCTTATGTTGAGAATGAAATAAAATCTTTAATGATCAGAATCGTTTTTTGCCTAGTCTAACCATTTCTTATTTGCAATAAAGAATTCGTCATTCCAATATATGTTATCAACATTTTATGGCTTACAATATTTTACGATTCAAATGTCGAAGCTCTCCAGCCAACACCCTTCGTGATTCTATAGCTCCATAGGAGGGGTTTTCATTTATTTTATAATCCGCATACATTTTTATGAGAAAAAAAAAAGATAAAGAATACTTGTTTCGTTACTCATAACTGATTACTCTTCATGAACTGATCTTGCTAATATGCAATTCATATGTTAGAATCCATGCTATGATCAACTCATAACAACTAGTTCAAACCAGGGCGATCATCTATCAAATAGATGAACGCATCACGCAAGAAGGCTTATGCCAATGAAGGCTTTATGTTTTCATTTGAAATACAACCAAAATGGTCATTTTCATCTATTGCACGTTTTCGAGAGAATCTCATTTACACTTCAATTGATGTTCAGAATGAATCACATGAATAGGATGTGTCATCTGTGCCGATATGTTCAGTTTATACATGTGGGTGTTGTTTTCTGGGATGAAATGAAATAAACTATGTAAATGACGTTAGGACATAATCGTAACAGGTCATTAAATGATAAAGATACCAATTGAAATACACATTATATGGGAGAATCGATTGCTCATAGATGGCGCATTATTGCTATAAACTTATTAAACACTCAAACATTTTTATTAAAAGAGCTTTATAAACATCATAAAACTAATGACGGCAACTACAGTACTACTATCTCAAGATTGTATTTCATTACATAGATCTACATCATCTTCCATAATCATCATCATCATCATCTTCTTCTTTCTTTTTTTTTTTTTGACATTTTATTTCATTTATTTTTCAATTTTTTTTGGTTTTCTACTGAATCTACAAAATATCATGCGCGACTGATGGATACAACTGATTATCAATAATGATATCCTTCCATTTGAATGACATTCGTGCCAGGAATTGTATCGTAACGTTCAGGAGCTGCTTTCAGCATTCCGGTATTTACAGTTTGCTCCTATAAATTGTAAATTTGTTTGATATTACTATCAATCATTCCGACTTCTTCGCGATTAATCGATGGAGGGTCACGCAGCAGATACATGAGTGGAGCATAGGCAAAACTAATGACGGCAATGATGTAAAGCATGCTTTAATAAATTCTATTTAATTTTTTTCTACTATTATATTGTCTCACGTGGGGAAGCCAACACTGCGAACTAAAGGTCCAGAGAAGAATGGTCCTAATGCAAATGCAAAACAGAATGCTGCATCAGCGATGGCATAGATTGATCCGTAAACTCCTACATGACGTATATCAACCAAATATCCCATTAATGGGAACATGGATGCATCAATCATTCCTAAACAATGTGTTTTTTTTATTTTAAAATTTTTTATTTCCTGATCAAAGGAAATGATTTAGTGTACCAATGCTCAATCCCATGAAAAGATGTGGAAGGATGAGACCGCTTACAGAGGTTGCAGATGGAATTGACAGCAGGCTTAAACCTATCACGACCAAACCAATCAAAGCCGAGAGCCAGCTGAAAATGAAAAAAAAACCAAATTGTCTAATTATCTCTAGGAAATCATTTGCATGATCATCATTCAATGTCTCCTACCGTCCCATACGATGAGCTAAAGGACCGAATATGTTTGTTCCAACAAGATACGAAATAGAGGCTGGGATAAATGCAGCTCCCCGTTCAAACGAGTTTGCACCCCAAGATTCCATCATCCATAAAGGTAGAGAAGGTTCAAGCATAGCGATACCCAAATTACCGATAGTAATTGCACCTAAACGATTGTTACAATTGTTGTCTTTGACATTTTACACCTGCGGCAACTATGATGTAAGGATCTTTAGCCAATTGCCTAATTGTTGATCCTTCAGGTTCTCCCTTCGAAATCTTTGGTTGTAAAACAGCAAATTGTAAGCCTTAAAGTAGTTAGCTTCAATAGGAATACGCTTTCCTATTGTTATTGTTCTTGTTTATAACTTAGCTCTTCATCATAATGATGAGTAAGCTTAACTCAGATTGAACAAGTTGCACTCACTTCCATCAAACAATGCCAATAGGGCAAGAATAACAAAAGGTAGTTCTTTTCCGCTCCATTGGTAGAGTATTCCACCGTAAGGTGGACCAACAAGTACTCCTAAAGCCAATCCTCCTAAGGCGATTCCCATAGCACTTCCTCTTTCAGCATCATCTGGATAGGCTTGAGCAAGCATACCCATTCCTATTAGCAAGAACAGCGTGAAAATCTGTTACTGTCATTTATCAACCTGAGGTACTGGTACAAGCTGATCCAACTCCTTGCATAGCTCTAGCTAACCAAAGCATGGGATATGACTCTCCAAAAGCAAAAAGTAGCGTAGAGAGAAACATAATGACAAATCCTACAAACATAGGCACACTGTATCCAATTCTGGAAAAATGAAAACTTTGTTGTTTCTCAGTGAAGTCATTATTAACCGGTTCGTTAGAGGGCCAACCCACGGATTCACTAACAGTTGAACAAGAGCTTTTGATCCAAACATTAATCCAACTAATATATTCTCTTTCGCAATAAGTGCATGCTTGTCATCAAGTGACAATGGCCGAGTAGTGGCATTTCTCACGGGCTCGCTAAACATGAGAAACTAATCGGCTTTGTTTTTCAAACAACTTTCTGATCCTTGAACGAGTGGGTCCCATGGCAAAGTCTTGTTCAGATTCAGGAGCCCAGGGAGGAGTGGTTGCAACGTATGAAAGTGCAGTTGTCTTTTTACGTCCCATCTTGTTAGCAGGAATATCCCAACTATCATCATCCCAAGTTGTCTGAAGAGATGTGTTTTGTGTTATGTTAGCGAATCATAGATAGATACTTGACGCTTGAATCGATCAGCTTCTTCAAGCTTGGCCTGATCCAAAATATCTTTTGAAGCATCAGGAAAATTGAGTTTCATAAGATATTCCGGGATTATGGGAACTGAAATCTTATGTCTTAATGGCTTCTCTCAAATTATTCAAACTTACCAATGGCTGTCAAAAGCATATTGTCCAAGAATAAAGCAATATAGACAATGAACAAGAGAGCTTTTTTGTTCCCACGATACTGTTCTATTAGTTGTCGTACGTTCATTTTCTGGATGAAAAAAAGAAAAATGTTGGCTGTTATGATAGTAAATGAGAACGAAAATATAAATTTTCACGAATATTGTTGAGAAAAGAGATGCGATGAATCAAGAATGATTAAGAATTCAAAAATATTTTTGAAGTGAATGAACATAGAAGACATAGTTGGAGAATAGTTTAAGATGATGGCTATTTTCAATCAAGTATAAGCATAAGCTTCCTCTCTCTATCTATATAAGAAGGTAGTAATAGAGATATGAGACATAGAGAGATGAAATAATTGAGAGAGAGAGAGAGAGAGAGAGAGAGAGAAGATGGAGTATTTGATAGATTTAGAAAAGCTCTGGTTGTAAGCTGAAATAGAAATTTGAGATTGAATAGAGCGTAAATTATTCAATCTCACAAACCACATATCCGGCCAGTTCATTTTAATACAAACAAAAAATTAGGTAATAAATTAGGATTGTTCAGTTACAATGTAAATACCAAGAGGGATTGTGCTTGTTAAATTAATGACAAGACATGGAATACGATCAGTGTGAATATCTTAAGCTATGCTCATTAGAAAGACATACCATATAAGGAAGGACAAACAGCCATATATATATATATCTGATTCAGTTGAAACGAAAGTATCTTGTTATATATTAATATGAATATGAGATTTAAGTTTAAATCATATATTGAACTTGTTCTAGAATGAAAAATTTCTAACAAAAACTTTCTTTTTTCACTTTTTTTGGTTCTGACACATAGTTAAAGGATAAAAAATTCTCACGCTGCTGACAGAGTGTGCAATGGATTTGTGTGAGATACTTGAAATCGTGTAGAAGGCAAATTATAAATATATATATATATATATATATATATGGATAGATTGGTTTTGAAGAGAAAATGAGTCTAAAACGGAAAAATAACATATCTGATTCTTTTTTCTTTCTTTTTTCTTTCTTACATTTGCCAAAAACATTTTGTTCGAGAGAAAAATAAAATATAAATAAACATATGTTTGTAATGTGTACTAGTGAGATTTTGTAGATGAAAATGTAGAAAAATGGTTGTAAGGTAGAGGTAGAGAGGGGGTGGAGTGGATAGAGGTTAGGTGAGAGATAATTGCATGTAAATTTGGGTATAAAATACATAATAATCCATAGCAACAAAGAGGTAATGATGCTTAAGATGACAAGATTGAGACAAGGCAGTTGATCATACGAAGTAGCTTTTTACATTAAATAGCAGCATGTAACTATATATATACATGTGGATAGATGGATGGAATGGAGAAGAAAAGGATAATAGATGAAAGTTTGTAAACGATTCATATATGGAAGGAGATATCTATATAAATCTATATAAATGAAAGAAATAATAATGATCGAAAAGCAATTATGTTAAAGAATATGTCGAACAAGCATTTTTTTTTCTTTCTTTTTTCTCTTTTCAACAAATGGAACATAATAACCCACTGAAATTTCCGGTGGTTGAATAGAATAAGAGTTACATGAAGCAGATATATACATATATGGAGATATGTATGGATGTAAAGATCTATAGGTAAATGTAAGCAACATGTGTTCTATGTGATGAAATGATAGCCTTAGTCCTCAATACATTTACATACAAGCTGGCTATAAGCATTTTAAGACATATTGTTTTGGGTTTGTCAATAAGAGCATAGTTAGACCATGTTGTTTGTGTGAGAGCAGGAAAGAGTATGATGGCTGCTCTAGATGAATATAAAACAAAAAGGCTTCTGGGCGTTAAACAATTTTCCTTATGGAATAACTTAACTCAAATCATGAGCAATACTGCAAACGACACCATGGGGGTTGTTGAATAAATGGTTGACGTCATTTCAGGAAAACGATAGAAGTTCAATCGTCTAGAAGATTCTAGTGATCTTTTCATATTTGCATTTAAGTGTGAATTGAATGTTCAATGATTCTCAAGCATCTATGAAAAATGGAAAATTCAAGAGAGAGAATCTTGAGAATGCCTTCTATGATATAATGAAAGCATTGAGAATATTCATTTTTGCGAAAGCTTATAGAGATATATAGATAGATAGATATCAAGTATGTTATTATATAGTTGGGTAAATAATAAATATTCCAACATCATGACATGCCTAATACATATGATTTGAAAGATTTAAAGATATTCAAATGATATCATACATTGTGGGCAGCTGGTAATATAATCATAATTAATTAGTTTGAATAATTAATATTCTATTGATCACACATGTTATACATCATATTAGGATAACGGTAAATTGCGTACATTTGTATATATCTTAAAGATGCCGGAAAAATCGCAATCCAACTATAGTCGACTACCAACTATTTTGATATTTAAGAAAATAGTTGGTTTCAACT